TCATCGACATATTTCCTCGCAAAGTTGACAAAAGGCATGAGAACCGTCCGTCCTCTAGACGCATAAAAAGCTTCCCCTGAACATCCTACAGCAAATCGGAATGTACTAGCTTCCAGCACTGTTCTTATGACAACACAACCTCCAACATCGGACAACAAATGTCTAAGCTTCCACAGCAGAACCCAATTTATGACCGTCGATTGGTCGTCAGAAAGCCACAGTAAGCGAAACACGAGAAATTCCCCCAAGCAGCACTCAGCATACAATCGACGACCGTTCGTCAGAGAGGCAACCAAAACCCACCGAATCAGCGGCATTCTCAAGAGAATTACACCAGGGCGCAGAGGAGTATATTACCTTTGGAAGACTTGTCATAGTAGAACAGTGAGTCGCTGGGGACTGAGGAGAGGTTGCCGCCGCTGTGGGAGTCCTTGGTGGCCTTCTCGAAGTACTCCTCTATGTCCGCCGTAGATATGTTCGCCCTCCACGCCTTCTTCCCCTTTCGCGACGTCTTCGCCTTCTTCCCCATGGTCACAGCGTTGACGAAGGACGGGGAGACCAGAGCGAGAGAGAGAGAGAGAGAGAGAGAGAGAGAGAGAGAGAGAGAACTGTTAGGGTTCCCTAAGCGAGAGAACCGGGAGGATGAACTTTCTGAGACTAGGCGGCGGCATCTCACATCTCGCTGCATATTTTCAATTACATCCTCAGCATCTCGCGTAAAATACTTCACCCCATACTTTTATAATATTATCTTTACAGCCCCCAGTATCCTGCTACATAATAAAATATATACGTACTCACCCCGGGTGGGAAGGGGAAGAAATCGTCGAGGGGACCCGGCCCGGCCCGGCCGGTTCCGGAGAAACCCGACTCCGAGCCAATAAAGAGTAATCAAAAGGTATATTTGGGAAATCACACAGAGCATATCCTTGACATCAAGTAAGGACATAAACACAATGGAAATCCAACATATGATCTATATGTAATTTCCCCATACCAACCCTTTCCCTCCAACATCAAGATGGCGAGAGAAAGAGAGAGAGACGGGGTTTGCCAGAGGACCTCACGTTATTCCTACAGACAGTAGATGAGAGAGAGGGGCTTAGATTTCCAGCTTGGTACTGAGAAAGTCGGAGCTGTCGACGGTGCCGCCGCCCCAAAGCAGCTCCTTGCTGCTCGGCAGCGGCGGCGGCGGCGCCGCCTTGCCCTCCAGGTTCCGCGGAGACGGGTACGGCTGGGCACTCGACACCCTGCGCGAGGAGCAACACCGTCTGTCAGATGAGCGCCGAGGAAGAGGAGAGAGATCGCGAGGCCGTGGGAACGGCGGCGCCGCCGTCGGCAGCGGCGGTGGCGGTGGAAGGGGGAGGATCTTCTTCTCACCTCTCCTTCCGCTTCTCCAGGAATCGGGCTAAGGAGGCCTTCCGCGCCTGCGGCACCGCTGCACCGGCGAACCACCACTACCGAATAAGAAACCCACCAAAGAAGATCGACCGACTCAACAAGACTACGACGGCACACCTCGGAGTGTGGCGGCGGCCGCGCCGCCGCCGCTGGTGGCGGACGCTGTCGGAGCTGAGCTCAGGTCGTCGGAGATGTTGGAGCTGCTGCCCGACTGGGCCCTCGAGATCGGCGGTGAGGAGACCACCTTCGTCGGCTCCACTGCTGGGATCGGGACGTCGGCCAAGTTCATCCTGGAGACATTGCTCGCCAGGAGCATTATCGCCCGGGCCTGAGAAAAGAAAGAGGATTAGAAAAAAAAAAAGAAAAAAGGATCGAATCGACTCCAAATCCTCAAGGAATGAATTCGTCGTCGAAATCTACCACCTTCTCCGCCCGTACGTCATCGAAAACGTTGATCGACCCAGCGTAGAAGATCGTCAGCTGCGCAGCTGCTCCCGAGGGGTTGACAGCGCCCCTACAACCAGAGAGTCAACGTCTCAGACCGATTGAAGGGGGAGATCTCCAGTAGCATTCTGTGTCTGTCTCCCCACCTGGGGATGACGGGAGAGGCGAGCGTCGGAGCTCTGCTCAAGGAATGCTGCTGGTTCAGAGGCGCCGCCCTGAAGAAGGGGCTCGCCGGAGTGGGAGGAACGAAGTTCTTCTGCAACCCCAGAAGGGAGGGGGAGGGGAATCAGGTTGAAGCAATCAAGTTTGCACTACAATTTTTACCAGTAGAGATTGGTGGATGAGCTAGGGTTCCTACAGAGTGAAATCCGAGACTGGAGATGAAAGGATCGCCGGCGGGGGCGGAGCGGAACCCCGATGAGGGCAGGAGATCGAAGGCGATGCTCGTTGACCTCTCCTCCTCGGCGGCGGGGAAAAAGACGAAGGGCTGCCGGCCGGAGACCATGCTCGAGAAGGACCACTGCGCCCCCTGTCTCCCGAAGAAGAATCCTGCAGATACACGGAGAAGGGCGGGACTGAGAAAAGAAGGCTAGCCAGGATCAAATAAATCTTCTTGGCAGGAAGTTTGAAGCTTGAAGAACTAATGGTTTTCGACGCAAATCAGAGGAGATTACGGCCCATTCTGTCTCACTTTTAGCATCCCGAGTCTCAGATTGGGAGGGAAAAGAGCGAGAGAGAGAGAGAGGCGCCGGTCAAGGAGGACGAATCCCGCGTTGCAACACCACCGCTACCACCTACGTTCTGATGGATTCCAAGGGAGGAATGCGGCGAGAGTTATCGACGGAAGCCGATAAATCTAAAGAAAACAACAACAATCCCGAAGAAATCGAAGAACAGATCAAGAGATCCTGTAGAACAGAAATTCCTGAATTATATATTTACTGCGCTAAAACAGTAATCGACGCCGAAACTTGCGCGCATATGTATGGTATTTACGCTCCATCGACGAGAAAAATTTCCCCCGACAGATCAGTGGAACGAGAACCAAAAAACAGTCGACCGATCTCTTCCGACGAGAACCCGCAGCCCTTGGGCTGAAGGGGGAAGACCAAATCGGAAAGTTCAAAAAAAATATAAAAAAGGAAAACTAACAAACTAGACGGGGAACGAAGCCCCAACGACCCCAGGGATTGAAAAACCGAGAAGGATATCCATGCGGAAACGATCCACAGCGGACCAGCAATAACTTCAAAAGATTTTATCAGACAAAAGAATAAGAACATCAAGTGTTCGAGGAACACCAGGGGAAGAGACGAAGGGGCCCAGACCTCCTGTCTCCTCTCTCGCCGCCGACTCCCTCCCGCCGATCCCCAGAAAGTCCGTCTCCATGCTCTCAAGTCGCCTCTCTCTAGCCCGCGCTCGCCGTCGCCGCCGCCGCTCAGCCGCTCCTATGTGTCTCCTCCCGCCGCTCCCCTCCTCGCGTGAGAGAGAGAGAGAGAGAGATGGGGCAGGGGAAAGGGGAGGAGAAGCCACGAGTAGGGGTCCACACCCTCGCTTCTATCACCTTTCCCACATGCCGATTACCGGACGATGCGCTGTCCAAAAGCCTTCATCCGGTCATCTTGCACGTGTGCACGAATTCCCACTTCCTCCTCTCTGTCTCTCTTTATCTCTATTGTCCCATTGGGGGGGGGGGGGACTATACCCCTCGATGGGGACGTGTCCGATCAATGGCGCCATCCCACCTAAATGAATGGACTCATATGCCCTCACGACTTTTTTATTAGCAGCTCCGCTCGCCGTCCGATTTCCATATCGTGGCCTTCTCTCAGCGAGGATAGGGAACTAAAAATGGACGGCTCCAGATCAACGCCCCCCCTCCCCCTGACGGTTGTATCCATCGAGTAGCTCCCCCCGCGAGATTATAAACATTCCGAAGAGGATCTATTTCCAATAATAAAACATCACAGTATGCCACGTTAATTTTGTACCAAAAGGATTCCATATAAAAATCGGCGAAACTCATCTTATCAATATTTCACATATCCCCAAAAAAAGCAAATGGGCCCAAAATCCCCCTCTTTTTCTTACTTAGCAAGCAAACAGCCCATATATAAATGTATAATTAGAAACGCAAGGGTTTTCTTGTAATAAAAAGAAATGTAGGGCGTTATGAAAATAACCAACGACATCAGTAGTACGCGAAGAAATCTCGTATCAGCCAATCCGTGACCGACATAGCGATGGCAGTGAGGGGCGAGCACCATGTGATGGGGTTTGGGGACCAACGGCCGTTGGCCTCTTGGTCTCGGATCGACGTGCCCGCCGACACACGCGGAGAAAATCCCGACACGTGCGTGACAGCATGGTAGCCAGACATCCAGTCAGGAAAAGGGGCACTGCAGTTCACGTACCTGGCGATGCCCCCTTAAAGAAATGCACCTCAGCCTAAGTTTGGAAGGTAAGGCCACCCTCCAGAGAATAAAAAAATACACGTGATAAAAACTAACATGGCGGGCACTAAAAAATATTAAAAAATTGCATTAAATATGGGAACAAACGTGCTGAACAAAACCCGACCAGAAGACGAGGCAGGCGGTTTACAGCGATCGGTCCAGTTCATTCACATGAAAATTATATGCCCATACGGAGGAACTTATGAACGGTCAACGCGTTGTGAGCGGCTCACTGACCTCGAGAAGGTGGTTCGCCAGGCCGGTGAAGACCACGGAGTCCGTCTCTTTGGCGTGGAACTTGATGAGGGCGGATGGGACCAGCTCCTCCTCTTCCAGCGTGGGGGGTGGTCTCCCCGGCGATCCTGAGAGCCTTGGGAGGGGGCGCATCCTGGGGATGGCCGGCTTCATGAGGTCAAACTCCAGCTCCGGCTGTTTCAACGCCGAGCTGACAAACTGAAGAAGGGGGGAGGGATGAGATGGACGGTTTCAGAAGCATATAAAATGAATAATGAGATGAAGAAATCTGCACAAGTTTCAGCTACCAGAAATCAGCTAAATGGTGATCGGATGGTCAAAATACAATTAAAGGAAACTAAGAAGGGCTTTGCCATAAATGGAGAAGCTAGATCGGTTGGCTAGTTGACCAGAATAATGTGATCTAGGAAGGACCTTGCCTGCTCATGCTTCTGTGTGGTAGGATGGAAATGTTTGGTCCGTTGACAATGTTTCATTATTCGCGATCAGCTTAGTTGACCAGGTGTTTCCTCATTTGTGGTTCGGAACAGGAAGAAGAAGCAGGAGGAAGATGGAGATCCAGAGGGAGGAGTGTGGAGTGTGACCTCGTAGAGCGCTGTGGTGGATTCCCACGGCAGAAAGACACCCTGGAGCACTACTCCATCAGGAAACTGGATGCGTATGCAGGTTGCCCTGTATTTCTTCTGAGAGGCCTTGACTTGCTTCTCCTTGAACGACCTGGGTATCAAGATCTGGGATTCCTCTAGCTTCTTTCTCCTCATCTCGGCCTCCCTTCGTATCTCCCCAGCTGAGAGAGTATAGAAAGAATCTGGCAGGTCGATCTTTGCTGCTTCGCTTTCGGGAATGGAGAAAAAGACTCTGACCTACAAGCATCCGCACACTCTTAAGTCCATTAGGAAAAAAATGCATACATATAAAGATTTGGCCAAATAACGTTAAATTATCTGGATTGAATGAATAGCTTATTGGAATAAGGTCCTTGATGAGTCCAAAGATGAGCATAAAAAGATAAATGGCATTATTTTAAATAAATAAAAAAGAAAAATAACCCAGTTTTCATAGCATATGAAAAAAAGGGACTTCAGAGGTAACTAAGCACTGCACGGTAAATCTTTTATTTTTTCAGAATATCTCACTAGAATGGTGGATTCAAATAAATAGAAGAAATACAAAAATGAGTTAGTTCGTATATATTCTTACATACATGGGCCCTAGTACATGAATATAGGGGAAACTACAAAAAGGTTTGCCTCGTCCATATAACGATTGAGAACAGATTACAGAAAAGCAGATGGGAGAAAAACATATCACAAGATCACAACAATTCAAGATTTATGTCCGACATCATTAAACCGAGGTATGAGATGTCTCAGGAGAAGAGAAATATCAAGGTTATTGAGAATATTCTTCAGCTGTCGAAAAATCTATGGCGCATTGCATATGTAAATATAATAGATGGCCTAACTTGATAAGGGGAAATCATTTATTAATTTGCATGGAGAGAAAGAAAACCTAGGAGCTTCTTAATGCAACTTGTAGCTTTCGGGGGCCTACATTCAAGAAATCAAATAAAGAATTCTACAATAGAGACAGCCTGACATTCTCAATCTCAGGCTGAATGTTTTTTTCGTTAAATATCCACACATTCACATAGATGCAATTTCAGTTTGCAATCCAAAAACAGGCTACAGTGATGAAAACATACATGCGTGAACCTTATTACGTAAGGAGAAATGTGCTTAAAAAAGGATGTAATGAGAATAAAAAAAGCGAATGATTGTTGAGATTGATGATAGTACGATGGGACTAAATAAATCCTGATGTTCACGATAATGCTTTAAGGGATTTAATTACAGTAAAACAAACGACTGGAACTGATCCACTTCATTTTTCATTTCACATACAAATTCTGATTGAAGATAGTCGTAACCGACATCAGAAGGAAGAAAATGCAGGTCAACATTTTGGAAGCCGTCAAGGAGATCTCATTTTTATTCTCCACACAGGGATGTGATTATGAATCTCTTAGTGGCTCCCAAATTGAGATCTTACATTTAGTTTCTTGTTTTGTGACGTATTCTAAAGGCACTTCTACCCACCATCAATTACAATCTCAAACAAACCTGCATGGAAGCTTGAGAATGTCATTACTTCAATATTTATGCTAAGGTTTGCGGATTTTAAAGAAAAAGAACTGCAACGTAATGCTGCTTCTAATTATCGACAAGCACATTATATAAGCACGAGTGGCAAAGTTTTCATCTATTGACCTGATTTTTTTATGGTGAATAGTAAGAATCATATCCGTCGCTGCATTTTACAGTACCTAGTTGTTTATTTTAGCGCCCTTGTGTAGAAATTTTAAACAGTGATAATTTCATTAATTCATATGATACATAGATGCTCGAATCAGTTTTGCCATTGTAAACAAGAGATAATGTATTTCATAGTATTTCACAAGGGAGCATCCACTTAAACTTGTTTCTTCGATGTTCATGCTCTATTCTGATAAATATATGCTAATTTATTTATTTTTATATTTTTTATTTTGCATACATTTAAAAATATTGCCCAAACTAATCCTGGGTGCAACCAAAACAATCAAGCGAGAAACGAAGAAAATAAAAAACATAAAAGTGACGTGACAAGAAATATTAATGAAGAGATTCAGAGCCTAATGCTGAAAAACGGACTGGGTAAATGAGAAGTTGAATCAAACTCTTTTTTACTGTCATTATAGTGAATCTTCAATGTTGAAGTACCACCAAACCTCACAAAGAGAATGATGTAAAATGAATGACTAAAAGAAGCAAGAAGGTTTTAAGGTGGACGACTTTGGTCCTTTCCTTTGGTTTCTTAGTGATCTCTGGTGGAGTGTGATTGTCAAGTTGAAACATTATATGAAGTGATAACAAGCAGAAAAGAAACGGCAATTAAGTAGCAGCTTGAGCAAAACTTCATCAGGTATTAGGAAGAGAACAAAAAATCCTAAAAAGCGAAGGCAATAACAATACGTGACGGTCAATCTTTTCCTTTTCCGGCAATTTCTCTGTAGTGGCAGCCGAAGGCGTTGTTGTAGAGTCTGCAGTTGTCCACCTCTCCAACAAGGTTGCTGCTTCTTTGATCAAGGATATCTGTTTCTCTTCTGGAAAATCCATCTTTGCCCAAGTTTCTCCTTCTTCGTCCTCGAGCCTGAACCCTACACATTCCAGCAGCTCCACCGCTCCGTTGACTGCGCTCACGGCTTGCTTTATTTTTGGATTACCCATGCGGATTCTCCTAAATTTGTCATTATCTGGCTCTCTAACCACATTTTTCATAAGCCTGAGAACGACCTCAACGGACTCCTTCGGTGGCTCTGAAGATACGAACTCCCCAATCCGTGCAGCCACATCATCCCTCGCCTCAATTTCTGCCCTGTCCCTATCATCTGGCCAAGATTCGACGCTGCCATTTCCAGCAAAGCCAGACTCTACGCGCGATGTTATCTCCTCCTCCGACGAGGATAGCCGAGAGCCGCCATGAGATTGGAACACCTCCGGGGAAGAGCCGTTGACCGTACGCTTGCCAGAAGAAATCAGGGGGTCCCATGGACTGAACTGGCCTGCCGATCGCTCGCTCTCAGGACGTCGAATGCTCGGGGAGGGCTTAGGATCGACTTTGGTGGCGCTGCCGGCCGGCCGAGCCGCCTTCTGGGGGTTTGGTCGTGAATTGGAAGGGGCAGAAAACCTCTGTACAAGAGGGGAGACGGCCGGTTGTTCCCCTGCGTCGGCAACAGAGCCGAGAACCCTTCCCTGCCCCTGGAACCTGCCAGACGAAGATGGAGCAGAGAAGGTCTTGTTCACCTTCTTGAACAATCCCTTCATTTTGTCCTTCACATCATCCATCTCAGGAATCCTGCAACAAGCAGAGGATCGCAGAGGAGAATTCGATCTCACGACCTCCGGAGACTTTGGATCGCAGAGAATCTCCGCCCTTCAGCCCCTCCCTCCCCCCGCTGCCTCAATACGACACTCCGCGAGGGCAACTTAATCCGAAGATACCCCTCTCTCGAGCCGTATTATCAACGGCTGCGGCACCGCAATCGTAGGCGTAACCGTCTAGGTTAGGAGGAGCCGAAGACCAAAGGAAACGATTGCTGCGCGTTGACGTGGGCACTTTTCGAAGACTGTTGACCGATCGGGTCTTCGCTCATGCCTGGAAGGTTCGACTGAAATAATTCCGGATATTTACTTTATCAAAATAGCAAATCTCCTTGCCAGAGGGTTCAAAGAGAAAATAGGGGCTGAGAAGAAAAAAAAAAGATATGATAGGGAGTAGGTCAAAATAAAAGGGGTTATAAAGGCAAATAGGACTCATTCCTGGGTTTTTCAGCGTGTTAAAGTGGGCCCACCACTCTCGCGCAGTCTAACCGCGTCTTCCTCTGGACTGCAAGAGTCCCTCCCCTTCTGCCGCCACGCTCTCTCTCTCTCTCCTGCGGCAACCGCTGGATTTTCTCTGGAGAAGAAGCTTCTGATGTAAGGAGGAAGAGTATCAGAGAGCAGCAGCGAAATCAGCGGCCCTGAATGCTGCAGTGCCGGAGCTCTGGTGGCGGGGATAGAGCTTGGTGGAGGAGGGGGTGACGGTGGGGGTCGTTGGGGGGAGGGAGCCATCAACCCTAAACCTTATCCGAGAAGGAGAGGGGAAGGAGGAGGGAGGGGTGTAAATGGTGTTCAAGGGGCGGTTCTTCTCCTCAAAGAAGTCGGAGTCGTCGAGCCCTGATGGATCCAACAGCCCTAAGACGCCGTCCTTCGGCTCCCCCAACAGATCCGAGAAGAAGAAGGTCAAATCCTCCCAGGATGAGGCAGGGGTGGGCGGGGTCGTCTTCCGACAGAACCTGATCAAGGACGCCGTGAAGCAGAACCATCAGCAGCAGCAGAAACACAAGGAGAAGGAGAAACACAGCAAGGAAGGAAAAGGGAAGGAAACCGCTGGCCCCTTCTCGAATGCTACTGTCACTGAGTTCCCGCAGTCTGCTCCGGCAAAGCTGCGGAAAAATCCACCGGCCAAGGATGGGTTGCCCCTGACCTCTGGTGCCGGACCGGAGATGCTGCCGCCAATCCTGGCCTCCTCCCTTGGTTTAAACAGGATTAAAACGAGATCTGGGCCTCTGCCACAGGAAGGAGCTGGAATCGGTCTGCGAGCGTACCACAGAGGATCAAACCTTGGAACCAGCAACTTTGCCAAAGGACATGCGGATGGGTGTTCGACTTCTTCGGCCTCATCTACTACTACTGCCGCAACTTGGACCATGTCGGGGAAGAGCAGTGGCAAGAAGAAGAATGTAGGTTGTCTCGAGAGGGTTGCCCACTCACAAACAAACTCTCATGCTGATTTCGACTCAAATCGAGCGAAGGACCGGGTTACTGGTTCAGATGATCTGACTGACTCCAACCTTCGGATTTACGAGCCATCGGCTGCTCAAACAGGTTGGTGATTGGTGAATGTTGAGTGCCTGCTGTATCTGAAAGCTAATGTTATTTTCCAAGATAGAAACGGCTACCCTCATCAGAACTAGAACGTCTAAATGATATGGTAACGCTTGGAAAGTGACCATTGCCTTCTGAGTTTGTGTGGAAACATTCACTTCATTGTCTGTCTCTGGAGAAATCCGTGTTTTTCCTCGTTCCTGTATAATTACTACACTTCTCTGTGAATCATATCCTATCCTCCCCACACGGTGGAGCTTGAGTTTTTAAGATATGTCAGACGAGACTCAACTTAAACTCCTTATGTACTCTTTGCTCGCTGTCTGAGAGCTCCACTCATCACCCCTATCACTCGACAACCTGTTGCTCTTCTCAAGAGATTTACAATCTGTCTTAAAACAGGGGTTTCTGCTTAGTAGCAATGCAGCAAAACATGAGAATTTTTGTGAAGGGCCTTTGGTAAGCTAGTGAACTTAATTCATCTGGCACAAACTAAATGTTTCCTTGACATCAATTTGGAACAGATTCTCAGCAAGTGAACTGGATATCTGTGGTCTATCATGATAAAATAGTGCCTTCCCTACAGCATAAAAGTAACTCCTTCCAGTTTACCCTATTAAGGAATGTGTTTACCAGATTATGTTGTTCATTATCATGTTATTTTTATGATATTTGTCACCTGGCATCTGATCATCTAGCTTAATAACGATGAGCCCAAACTAATGTTGAATAGGAAGTTCCGTTTAAAGTCTGGTGTCATTTGAACCTGCTTCGATCCAATGCATGACACTAGCTCTGGATATGGAACATAGATTCATAAACCTGCAGTCACTGTGGGGACCCAAACCCCTGTATATTTTCAGATTGAAATTCGGTGTATCTGGCAATCCAAAGTTTTCAATGACTTTGGAGCCTCTGATTTGGTTCTGAGTGAAATAGCTGGGAATTGGTTGACATCTCTTTTGGATTTTGATTTACGATGAACTAGGCATTCACTGCAATTTTTTCTCTTGTGACTGTAGGAAGAGTAAAAGGTGGAAGAAGAGAAGACCGTAGGAAACAATTTTCAGGAGGAATAAAAATATGGGAGGAAAGTTCACCACAAAAGATAAGATTGGGGAAACTTGAGAGGAAAAATCCTTGACGTTGATCCATCATCTGATTCATCCTGCTGATAGTACACAAATGAGATCCCCCCCATCGCATTCTGAAGCCATATTGCTAGATGATAAGGCTTGGGAACTGAAGACATTATGGAATTTACGATTTACAGTCATTGTGGTTACGCTCCCTTATGTTGCCCTCCATCTCCCTCTGCCTCCTGCTGCTTCCTATCACTAATAGGATACCCACCCCTGACCACTGCTGCTGTTGTTTGGAATCAGGGAAAGATCTGGTAGATGCGGGGCGCTAGAGTAATAAGCTATGGATGGAACTTTTTTTAGAACTTATTATTGAACGCCATTGTTTTAACTCACTGCATATTAGCAATGTCTTACATATACTCTCTATTAGCTGATCCAAATCAGCATCAGCTTGGGCAATCCAAGAAGTGATCCTGATTCTCCCGACCCTGTTGAGGATAACTTCACTTTGTACCACCATGAAGAAGAATGGATAATAGGACTGGAGCTATGATTCGATACTATGACGCAATCCACTTATATCCATAATTGAATCAGATTTTTATTTTAATTTTTTTCCACTGTGAACTAAATACGGGAGAAAGTTCCGATGCTGTTGTTCCACAGTAGGCAATGTTTTTCTGTTATGCTTCTAAACCTGCCTTACAAAATTTATTGACCTTTTGCACACTTACTTCAGTTGGATTTAATGTTGCTATTGCTTTTTGTTGGAATTGTGAATGGATCAAATCTTCTCACTTCCCAAAACCTTCGGGTTTATATTTTCAAACTTGATATGCAGGCATGTCTTCTGTTTTATTTTTCTTGACGTTATAGCCTTTTCTTTTTGTAATTTTTCTTATATTTCTATCCTCCTGCTAATTCTACATTTCAGGGAAAATCAATTCATCATGGAACCATTTTGAAAGTATAATCTCTCATGCGTGTACTCAACCTCCAGAAACTGAGGTAACATCCATGTGATAATGTTTTTTTCAATGCTAGTGTTTTTTTCATCATCAATGAAGCCTCCCCTGTCAATCATGTCTTTTTTCTTTAAGTGGGCATTATGTCATGCTTTTTACATATGTTAATGGTTGGATGTAAATTCAAATGCCCACTATCATGCCCGAACCTGCAGAAAATTTTAGATTGTGGAAATTGTTGTACCTTCATATGGATTGACTTGCCATCTTAGTCATTATTAAGCCAGGCACAGCAGGATAAGGTTGTTAATGAGTCAGTTCAGATCTCCAAGTCTGAGCCACTGAGATTTATTATTGTCTTTTCTTTTACTCATATAGTATTGAATCTTTGATTTCCGGTCACCCTTTGCTGTAGTTAAATGTTCGGTTATTTTTTAAAATTTGCTTATACACAGAACATGTGTATGTTTAGTTATTTACGGCTGGTATTCTGGCGTGAAGTGATTTGTAAGCTTAATGCCTGATGCTTATTTAGACATTGTGTGATTGATTAATTGAATCTCTTATGTTGCAGTCTTCATATGATGCTTGCGAAACTCCCAAGGAGTCGGAGTCCCCTCGTTTCAAAGCCATAATGCAGGCTACAAGTGCACCCAGGAAGAAGTTTCCTGCTGATATAAAAAGCTTCTCACATGAGCTGAACTCCAAAGGGGTGCGACCGTTTCCATTCTGGAAGCCCCGTGGCATAAGTAATTTGAAGGTAAGAACTAAGTTTGTATTCTCATTTTGGAGGTCCATTTATGCATCATTTGGCTATAGATTTAATTTCATTCGTCTGATGTAATACTTTTGCTTATAACACATGCTTGGATGCTGCTGCTACAGAACAAATTCCCATCTCACATTTATTGTTTTTCTATACAGGAGGTTCAAAAAGTTATTCAGGTGAAATTTGAGAAAGCAAAGGAAGAAGTAAACTCAGATTTGGCTGTTTTTGCTGGAGATTTGGTTGGAATAATGGAAAAGAATGCAGAAAGCCATCCTGAGTGGAAGGAAACCTTGGAGGATTTGTTGATACTGGCCCGGAGTTGTAATATGATGACAGCTAGAGAGTTCTGGCTCCAGTGTGAAGGCATAGTTCAGGATTTGGATGATCGTCGTCAGGAACTTCCCATGGGTGTTTTGAAGAAACTTTATACACGTATGCTGTTTATTCTCACGAGATGCACACGATTACTTCAATTCCACAAAGAGAGCGGGTTTACTGAAGATGAATTTGTTCTGGATCTTCGGGAACCCAAAATACTTCATTCTGTTGATAAACGTTCATCAGCTATTGAAGGAGATGAAAAGGGTTCAAGAGTCGCAAAAAGTCCAGCTGAGACTGCTACAAAGAAATCGTATAGTCAGGAACAGAACAGTCTGAACTGGAAAAGCCAGGAGATTAAGCCTGCACATTTTTTTCCTCCACCTGCTTTGGATAATGTAAGTGTAAGTACAGATCTAAGCCAGGAGCGGGTTGCCTCTTGGAAGGCTTTCCCATCCCCAACAGTGAAAAATCAGAAAGGAATCACGCTTACAAAGGATGAAGGGCATGGAGACCCTTTGGAGATCTTGGAGAAGGAGGAAAATAGTTTTGATGTGGATATTATTGAAAGCAGTCCAGAAGTACATAATTTAAAGGATTCTTCTGCTGCTCCTTCCAAGCACCAGCACAAGGTATCTTGGGGTTATTGGGGGGATCAACAATTTACTCCTGATGAGAGTTCAATAATGTGTCGCATATGTGAGGAATATGTTTTAACATCCCATGTGGAGGGTCACTCAAAGATCTGCACAATTGCTGATCGATGTGATCAGAAAGGTCTAAATGTTGACGACCGACTTCTTAGAATTGCTGAGATCCTGGAAAAGATGATTGCATCGTCTTTACAGAAGGATACACATATGAGTGACAGCCCTGACCTTGCCAAGGCAAACTCAAGTGTCACTGAGGAATCTGATGCTCTTTCTCCAAAACTTAGTGATTGGTCCCGACAAGGCTCAACTGATGCAATCGATTGTCTCCATGAGACTGAAAATTCTTTTTTAATGGATGATCTTAAAGGTTTGCCGACTATGACGTGTAAGACTCGTTTTGGCCCAAAATTTGATCATGGAATGGGTACATCATCAGCTGGCAGCATGACTCCTCGGTCACCTATTGTGACACCACGGACCCGACACATCGATTTACTTTTAGCTGGAAAGGTGGGATTTTCTGAAAGTGAGGATATCGTACAGGTGGGCTTTAATGCTGGAAACCTATATTAAGAGTTATTGAAACGTAGCTACTTGCATTTTCCTAAAATGTTGTTTTTAAGTATAAACTTAATTATATAGTTGACTAGAAAGGTACAGCAACCACAAGGTACCTCACTTTAAAGCTGTTGTTTTGGTTTATATGCTAATACAATTTACATTACCGTTTCATTCAGGAGACGCCTTGGTTAGTTATCTGTTTTTAATTTGCAGTCCGAGTTTATTTCCCTGATCGTTCCTTTTCTATGAATTTTCTGAATGTTATATTATATTTTTTTACTTCTTGAATCTACAAATTATTCTGCTTGTAATGTTCTCGTAATCTTACCCTTTTGGTCCACCTCTTTCTATTACGATAAGTAATGTGCCATCTAGTTGTTATAGTTCTCTTTCCATGCTCATAAAACTGGGGTTTCAGTACATCAAGCAAACTTTGTGGCTTAGAGTGCATAAAGGACAATTGGGATGTGTACGTAATGGCAAAGAGCAAAATTTGCGTCCTCATCAAGGTCGATTTTCTTTTGGTAGTCATACCCTCAGACATTCATTTGTAATCCTTTCTGCTTTTCTTTCACCTTTACTCCTATAACCCGAGAGCTTAGGAATTCTATTCTGCAGAATTCAAACTTCCTTTTTCAGTGCTCCATCATACTTTACAATGTTGTGAGATTGTGGGATCAAAATAATATATTGTGAGGCAGACTTCATTTTTTTTAAAAAAGAGTCAGAGATATTTCTTTGGTTTTTTTTCTTTTTGAGAATGGGGATGTTATTCGGTTGGCTTTTGTTTCTTGCATAAATCTGTCATTAGATCACTGATCTTTCTATGGTGCCAAATCTTTCCACTGTTGCATCCCATTTTATTCATATTGTACTTCGCACTTTCAGATAGTGGATGGTAGATCAATGATTTCATCCGTTACTACCTTTGGTGTAGATTGAAGAACTTGCAGATATTGCTCGGTGCATAGCCAGTACATCTATAGATGAGGAATCATCCTTGCAGTATCTGGTTTCCTGTCTGGAAGACCTACAAGAAGTTGTTGATCGGCGGAAGCTAGATGCACTTACCGTTCAGACTTTTGGAGCACGCATTGAGAAACTCCATCGGTTAGTTTTATGGTGCTAAATATTTTTTTTCTCTTGTGATTTGGCTTGTTCCACATTCTCGACTATAGTCCCTGTTGCATTCTGCTACTATTAGTTTTTTTTATTGTACTTGTTTTTGTGAACATCTGGCTTCTTATTGACTGCATTTGCTTCATGATTTTTAGGGAGAAATACTTGCAGCTATGTGATAACATTGATGTTGAGAAGGCTGAAGCGACTACCTTAATGGACGAAGAAAATGATGTTGTTCGAAGTTTGCGGGCAAGTCCTGTTCATCCTTCTGTCAAAGACAGGACGTCTATAGATGACTTTGTGATCATAAAACCCATCAGCCGTGGTGCATTTGGTCGTGTATTCTTGGCAAAGAAAAGGACAACCGGTGATCTATTTGCTATAAAGGTGAGCTGGCTCGTTAACAAAGTGTCATCATATAGCTAGCTTAATGTTTCTGATCGATTTACAAGAACCAAAAATTCATTGGAGGCTGGCTCAGGTAGTTCCCATGTATTTGGCATTTAAACTCAGAATGCCAAATCAAATTAAAAATATTTACCGACTGCATATATATATATATCGAATTATTCTTGTAATTACTGAATACTCTTTGTGCACGTCCTAAAGTGTGTGATGGGTTACTGATTAAATGTGCAGTACATGATACGCTTAATAAGACTAGAGTCCTCTGTGTTGGCTATATATGTGAATATATGCATGAAACAGATTTTGGTGGGTTGGACTTTTACAGCATTGATATACGTATTGCTACTTATCATTTATAGATTTCCATGGATCTCTTGTTTCACTGTGTCACCTCGCTTCTCTGTCTTATGAGTTCTCTTTGACTACTTGCAATATTCAGTTTTTGGTTTTGTTTGATGCCATAAATCTTCCGAATTTGTCGTCCAAATGGTAGATTTGGCTCATAAATTAAGTGTTCGTGTTCATTTATGAAAAAATTATCCAGGTTCTGAGAAAGGCAGACATGATTCGTAAAAATGCTGTAGAGAGTATTCTTGCCGAGCGGGACATTCTTATATCTGTTCAGAATCCTTTTGTGGTGAGTTCCACCTACCAAAGTTCATTGGAGATGATAATCATTGTTTTTACTATTAACAAGTGTTTGATCAGGTCCGGTTTTTTTACTCTTTCACCTCCCGGGAGAACTTATATCTTGTCATGGAGTACTTAAATGGTGGTGACCTATATTCATTATTGAGGAATCTTGGTTGCCTGGATGAGGATGTTGCTCGTATATATATCGCAGAAGTTGTAAGTTCTATTTTTCTGGCAAACTCATTATCAAACATTTGACAGTTTCTATCTGGCCCTTTATTCGTGAAATTGATTTTTTTGCAGGTACTTGCTTTGGAATACTTGCATTCTCTTCATGTGGTGCACCGAGATTTGAAACCTGATAATTTGTTGATTGCGCATGATGGTCATATCAAGGTTAACTGCGATCTTACTTCTTGAGTTTTTTTTTTTTTCCCAATACATTCATAAGTTTCAGCAAGGGCCTTTTTTCTTTCAAGAGTGTGTCAGTTTTAATGTGAGTATTCAATTCATATCTAATGAATACGTTTTGATAGCAATTCTTTATTGTTATTCTTATGTAAATTTTGAGCCAAATTAAACGCCGATTCAGCATAATATGACAAAACATGTAAGCCTGATCATTCTATCGCCATCCCCTTTCATGCAAGAAAAGGGTAAGCCTCCCACACGGGTGGTAGGGATTTGCGTTCAAACCAGTTAGATATTCCTGTCTCTGTGTTTAGATTTTCGATTCCATTTTTGTTGCGCATGCAAATGTGCTCCTACATGAGCAATGGCATTAAAGTAGACAAGTTACAGAGGATCATTATCTTAACAATTCAGAATATGTTTAGCAACACGAAGTCATGTGAGGAGCTGATGGACCAGGGAAGGCGGACAGTGGATACCCACACCATATTCCTCTTTATCCACTTTTTGTTTGGTTCCTTAAATAAGCTTGTTTGGCTGGCTAGATTCTTCATACGCTTCTTATGCAGAATGATTATCTGCATTAACAGTCACCTAGAACATCCAGGCAGAGTAGTAGAACCTTGTGATCAAGGTTTCCATTTTTCCGAATTTTTTTTGATGGACATACACGGTGAATTATTGTGATCTAGAAAGAGTTTTCTGACTGTGTTAGCCATTGATGTCTTACCCTAGGTGTCATCAAAGAGGAAGTCAAAGAATTCAAGTGCTTTCACAATGCACTCACAGGAATAAACCAAAATGTCAGCATGTGTAGCTTAAAAATTGAATAAGGGCATCTACATTGCTCTTTGTTGTGAATTTTCTTATTTTATGCTGTTTTAAATCTCTCATATGCAGACGAAGACGATTGATCATCTTTTGTGGAATATGGGATTATCAATGTGTTGTGGAATATTATTTATAATGCAGCCCATAATCTTGTCGGTAATGATTCAGATATTTTTTTCAGTTATAAAATTGGCGTACTACATGTCTTGTGCTGTATATCTTGACCGGTGGATGATTCTCTTACCAGCTGTCCTAGAGACCATATTTAGGGAAAGGAATTTCAGAAATTCTAACAGAAATTCCTAAAAAAAAGACATTCTACATATCTTCATTGCTCATCAAGAGCAATGGAAATTAGAGGGTGACCTTCAATCTTGCCTGATTAATTTTGCAAAGAAAAGGGATAACTTGATTTTCTGGCTTTCTTCCCTCTTTCTCATCAGCCATCCTGTTGGATGAGGGGTAGGTTTTTCTCCTTTTTACCGTATTGTGGCAGTACTATACTGTTGTTGCCTCGCTTTTTCCCTTTTTCCTTTGTTTTCTGTTCGTTACTTTTTCTGCTATAGCTTCTTTTTTAATACAACATTAGCATAAGTCACCTTCTAAAAATAATACTCACTTGCACCGTATCATCATGAAATCTCAAACATCCGGCAGGAAAACATCTCAAACTCCCTTTTTCCTTTTGTCTTCTCGTTAAGTTGTCTCTTTTGGACAGTCTTTCTTTTATTTCGCTTTCCTTCTCATGAAAACATAGCCGCGTTTGAGATTGTACAGCACAAATTAATTTTGTGATCTGGGCTGTATTTTGACAATTCTTTCTTTATAACAGTTGACCGATTTTGGGCTTTCCAAGGTTGGGCTCATCAATAGTACTGATGATCTATCTGGGCCAACAGTTAGTGATATACTACTTTGTGAGGATGAACCTCAATTATCTGTATCTGAGGATCAGAAAGAAAGGCGAAAGAAACGCTCTGCGGTTGGTACGCCTGATTACTTGGCTCCCGAGATCCTCTTGGGAACAGGGCATGGTAAGTTACAATCTTGTTTACATGTAGTAGCACGCAGATATTTCCCAGTAGCACGTAGTGATTCTCTGCGGCTGGCACACCTGTATTCTTCCTTTTTTTTTTTTGGTTTCTGCTAAGCTTCTATACGTTTTGAGCAAGTCGTGTTCATTCATACAGGTGCAAGTGCTGACTGGTGGTCTGTGGGTGTGATTCTTTTTGAACTCATCGTTGGGATTCCACCTTTTAATGCAGAGCATCCTCAGGTCTTTCTTTTTGGCATTTGTCTTTGAAATCTATTGCCTTCCCATCATTTCATCGTTTCAGGAATTTCTACAAATATGTGCAAGGAAGACAATTTTCTTGCAAAATTCATGATGTCTACTTTTATATTTCCATGGTATTATCTTTTACTAATTTTTCATGCTGTTATATGAATAAGCCTTACCGTGCTGATAAGAGGAATTTTGATTACAACATTACAAATATTCATGATGTCACAAACACGAGACCGAAGGGGAAAATATAGAAAGGTCCTTGAGTGGTGGAATGGTCTAAAAGAGATTAGTATTGACAATAAAGTTAAGATCCAGAATAGTTAATAATCTGAACCATGAGTTCTTGCCATTGGTGAGTCCTGCACTCTGAAGAATTACTTTTATGGTCTTATCATCCTTATCATCATCATCATCATCATCATCATCATCCTCATCATCGGTGTCTGAATCCTGTCAACCTTGGTTCCTACCAGACTTAATGTTGTGTTATAGATTGTCATTTTTGTCATCTAGACTACCAACTAACATCATATTTTCATTGATTGTACGAGAGGCCTAGTTTTGATAATTACTGCATTTGTAATTGTTGCTAGTTCGCTTGTTGTGCTTGTAATATTCTGAAAATGATAAATAACAGAAGAAAAATGTAGAATGAAATGTAATAAAAATACATTCAAGAATTGAGAAAGCATGATTATCTAAGCATGTCAATAAAAAAATACAGTATGATTCTTGTGATATTAATCATTATCTTGTTAAACCTTGCTATTAATAAAGAATCTTGGAAACCCATGTGCGAGAAGGCAAACATGATCGTTAAATGAAATCTGAAAATGTTGATTGGTATGTGGTCCATAGCTCTGAAAAGAATTGGTGTACATCATTCGTATCCCACATCAACATGTAGACAGGTTAAGAACCCAACAACCAGAAATCAAAATAATAGATTCCCTTCATTCAGCCCACTCTTTTACCTTGTCACCCGACCACTTCAAATCTCGAAAGCATACAACTTCGCCTTTTAGAATACCTTTGCTATCCCCCTTCCAAATAAGTCAAATGGTTGTATGAAACATGACCCGCCGAGTATTGTGATCCACATTCTATATCTGATGTTTTCTTCAGCCTGATAGAAGTTTAACCGTATATTGTTTGGCATTGCTGCTGTATATGTATGTTAATCTAGAACAATTGTCAAATTTCCTGAGAGAAATATCAGAAGAATAAGATTACGAAGTTTCTTCTCTCTCCAAGCAGGCTATGCATTGTGTTTGTTATCCACAAAAATAGCCTAAAAAATCTAAAGTATAAGTCAACTATGTGAAATCCTGTCCGTCAGAATCTTAACTTTTGGCTTCAAGAAGGCTAAATTAAGGTAGGAACGGCCAGAAGATTGTGGAACGAGAAGAGGAGGGAGATATCTAGGTTAAAGCATACGCATGAGACGTTTCAATCTGCAAGGGTTAGCTGATCTAAGTTAGGCAAAGTGTCAATATTGCTGTATAGATGGATTTGACGTCTTGCCAGAACTACGACACAGTCGAGGAAAGGAAGCACAGTACATCAGTGAGCATAGTATCTCCATGGGATGGTGGCAAGTTGCAAGGCATAAAAAGGTTATGACCTGGGAAGTAGAGTCATCTTGCCTTTTTAGGACATTGACGATCAGAATATTTTCAAGAAATTAAAATATTAATTTCGGCGAAAAAGTTTTAACCAACTTTTGAGGATTATCTGTCTGTCTCAGAGACCGACTAAGAAAGAAAAAGCAAACGCTTGATGAATATTATTTATACTGTCTATCAACCTCTATTTCTGGACGGACAGGCTGTCAGATCAATCTCCTCTCTCTCTCTCTCTCTCTCTCTCTCTCTCTCTCTCTCTCTCTAGTGTGAATATTTATTCTGTATCGTGTTTATAAATGTTCATCACGGTGTTATTGTTTTCTTTCTCATCTCGCTCTTGTCCGCGTGCAGATAATATTTGATAACATACTCAACAGGAAAATACCATGGCCTCAAATACCTGACGAAATGAGTTTTGAAGCACATGATTTAATAGACAAGTAAGGAAATCTGAAGATTATTTAGTTCTCAGTGCCGCGCTGGATTTTATTTCCCTTAATGAATAAGTAACTGAGCTAAGTTTTGTGATCTTTCTGGCTTCAGTCTGTGTGATATGCATGCGTTTGATTGTAGAAAGCAAAGCGAGATCAGGCCGCAGATTTCTCTCTCTCTCTCTCTCTCTCTCTCTCTCTCTCTCTCTCTCTCTCTCTCTCTCTCTCTCTCTCTCTCTCTCTCTCTCTCTCTCTCTCTCTCTCTTGATTCCCCTTCTTTTATTTCGAGATTAATGCCCCCATTTCCCAATACAGATTACTAACTGAAGATCCCAGCCGGAGGCTTGGTGCCAGAGGAGCATCGGAGGTCGACCTGCTGTTTTTTTCTTCTTCTTCTTTCTTTTCTGAACTACCCTTGCGCTTGACCACCGAACCGAGCTTCCATCATAACACCCGCTCGCCTTGTTTGTACAGGTGAAGCAGCACGAATACTTCAAAGACATCAACTGGGACACACTCGCCAGACAGAAGGTGACCAAAAGCACGCACGTTGGCCCCCTCACTCACGCAGAAAACCTCACCCGAACCTCTCCCACCAATCACTCCTGCAGGCTGCCTTCGTTCCTTCATCCGACAGCGCACTCGATACGAGCTACTTCACCAGCAGATACTCGTGGAACCTGGCCGACGACCGCCTCTACGAGGCCAACGAGTCCGAAGACTCCAGCGAGAACGGGAGCACCAGTGGCAGCAGCAGCTGCACCAGCAGCCGTCACAACGAACCGGTACGCCATGAGAAATTGATATTCACTTAAATACTATCAGAATTCGATAAATTACTTCTTTTTCTTTTTCTCTTCTTTTTCCCCTTACCAGGGATATGAATGCGGTGGGGGGCTCGCCGAGTTCGAGTCCGGAGCATCGGTCAACTACTCCTTCAGCAACTTTTCCTTCAAGGTCTCTCTCTCTCTCTAGAATCCCTCCTCTTCTCGGGCTTTCTCTCTCTATCTTGATCAAGCTCCCGGTGCCTTTTCTCTCTCCCAGAATCTCTCTCAGCTCGCGTCCATCAACTACGACCTACTCTCCAAGGGTTGGAAGGAGGACCTCCCCGCAAACCCCGAGCCATGAGGCGGCGCCGCCGGCCGCCCGCCGCCGGCTGCCCGGGCTGGAACCCCACCCCCTCCAACTGCGTGCATGTACAGGGTGTAAATGTAAGGACATATCGTGATCCCGCAGGCACAACTTATCCTCCCCGGCTCCACTAACCTCTGCCTCCCCTTCTTGTTTCAGAGCATACATGGAGCTTTTTTTGGGAGTCCGAATTGGGAGTTTTTCCCTCCCCATTCATCGGAAGATCTGGGCCCGTCAGATGGCTTTTTGGGCCCCGTCTGGGCCGCCATGCTCTCAAAGCTGGGCCCATGTAAGGAGAAAACCGGCCCATTTTCAGATATCTCACTCTGCCCGTACTATTATTGAGTCGAATGAATGGATATTCAGAGCATATAAGTATTTTGACTTGCTAGATAGGCCTGTTGGTTCCGCCGTGCAGGTCACGCGATCGCCGACTTAGTCAGCGTGGGGCCCGCGCCTCTACCCCCCTACCCTGGCGCCACGCAAGCACGACGAAAAAGATAGTTGTTAGTTGACATTCTGTTTTAAGAAACTTAGAATAGTCTTTAACAGTAGAGACGGTCACAGTGGCCCAACTGGTTGGGCCCAGATGTCAACCAGATTCGGCCCATTATGCATGACGGTCTCCGTTTTAATGTGCCAGGCTCTGAAAATTCTCGGACTAAAAAGCCCATGTATTTCGGGTTTTAACTATCCATATCCATCTAGAGCGAGAGAGAGAGAGAAAGAGAGGAATGGAGGGGCTTTTGGGGGAAGATTAATTATGAGTAGGTCCAAAACTAAATATCAAGATTAATTATTAATTTCACATGTAACTAATTTGTCCAATGTCTAAAGATATTTTCAGATATACCCCCATAACGGCGGTGCGATTTGTTCCAGCAAACTGAATGCAAACACTATCCTGAAAGCCAGAGAGTCCTTGTCATCTCCACGTCAGCAACAAGCGGCTGTTTAGGGGGACGGGCGGTAGGCTGACGCCATAAAGGCTAGCCACGTGGATCTGGATCGGACAAAACTAGGTGGAACGTGCGGGAGCGTGCCTATTGATGCGCACTATAATTTTTTGTCAGTTTATTGGCTCGAATATAAAAAAATTTGTTCCAGCACCGTAAAAATATTATATTGAGGTTTTGGATCTGCTGTCTATTTTGTGTATTATTATATTAAAGGGATTTGTTGACAGGGGAGGAACATAATTTTTTAAAAAAAAATCTACTCTTAAATTTGCTCCTGCTGGTTTCCGAGGGCCTTCTCGATCAGACAGCAGTCTCCTCTCAAGCAGCGGAGACGTGAGGAAGAGAGCAAGAGCGGGAGCTCGTCCGTGGGGGTCGGATGGCGTCTCCTGGAGTAGTATGTTTCGTCGGTCTCGACGAGCTGAGCCTGGAAATGGCTGCGCTACTCGTCAAGTCGGGATACCGGATCAAGGCGTTCCAGGTGACAGATCTCCTGCTCACTCGTCTCAATTTGCGTTGTCCTTTCGTTTTCTGGGAATCACATTGATCAGGACCACTCCTCGGGAGTTTAGTCGTTCTTGCCTCACAGCTAGAGAGATGAAGTTGAGACATGAGTGTTGCGTGCGGCTTGTCTCCTCTGTCCACGTTTCCCGCGTTCATGTGCTCGTTTTTAACAGTAATATGATTGAGTTTGTCCGCAGGCTGCTCATTGTGCCTTGATGGATCAGTTCCTGGAAGTGGGAGGTTCAAAATGTGATATCATAGGGGAGGCCGGAAAAGGTTGATCGATATGTTTATTCCTGTTTTGCTCTCTTCGTCTCTTTACACTCTCTTAAAGTTTACTACTGCAATTCACTTTTTTTTTTTGAACGCACACTGGCATCTTTCTGCACTTTTTCAAGTAGGATTTCGAATAGGTGCCTTATGGTTGCATCACGTACGTTCATGCGGCATTTTGTCTTTATCTGGCGTTGATTTATACATCTGTGCAGCTTCTCCAACTGCTTGAGGCTTGAAATTACTCATTCAAAGATCTCTATTATTACCAAGTCTAAATGAATTGTTCTCGTATTACTTTTCCCTTGCTTCAGATGTGACAGCATTGATTGTGACTGCTACTGGTGAAGTATATGATGAATTGATCGCCGCAAAACAGGGTATGCCTAAATGCCAGTACAGCATATTCTTGTGGCTCGTATAGTCGTGTCGTTATGCTCCCATAATCGAAAAGGATGTTCAAATATTCTGTAGGACTATGCAAAGGTACAGTTATCGTCATAAGGTCAACAGTACCGCTCAAACATGCCCGGACATTAGAGAAGCATTTTAATGGTAAGATAAATATCGCTCATACAGAATCAAGTGTTCATGGTGATACTGTATGATGCGGTTTGTTTGACAGCTGGACGGTTTTAAGTAATTTCTGTTTTGGTTGAGATTAGCTCAAAGCCTTTCAATAGACAGTTATTTTGCATGACTAACTTGTCAGTGTCTATCCCTTGTCTGTTAATAGAGATGACTATAAGCATGTCGTCACTTACATAAAGCACATGGAGGCTTACATCCTCTAAATAGTTAATTTATCATAAAATTTAATGATTGTTTGCAAACCCTGCGAAGCAATGTTGATGTTTCTTAAATTTCACAATTAACCCAAGATTCTGACATGAAGCCAGAGTTTGTCTCTTTGTTCATGTTACAAATAGCATTTGCATGTTCAAGTCTCTAAGTTAAAGAATTTCCACAAGATTTTTCAAGAATCAATGCAAAGTGTGTGATTCGGTATGATCGTGTGTGAAGTATCATAATTCTGACTCTTGGCTCTTGATGAAAGCATCTTGGACACTTGTATCTTCGTGGTCCTTTCACGGATTTCTGGTGGATGCAAGGCATCAAGATCAGGTCTCATGATCAAGTACACAGTTCTATTTTTTTCTCCAAAGTAAATCTTATTGAAATACGAAATTAGTGAAATTCAGTAATCTTCATAAAATTAAGCCTGAAATTGCATTTCCTAATGCATTTAAAGCTTCCAACTAAAACCATTTTTCATGATAACAAACTTCACATGAAATGGGCAGTGCGTTTCTGTTTATCAGAGAATCCCATAGAGAAGATTATATCGAACGAATAAAACAAGACTTTCATTATTTATCCATTTTTAGTTATCATTTTAGAAAGGGGGTAAATGCTTTTGATTCAGCAATTGAATTATTTGGCATGATGATTATGTGTAACTTTCAGCGACAGGGGATATGGTTGTTGTTGGTGTACATGTATTAAGGGCCGCGTCAGATGCTTTTAATGGCAAAATTATGGTGAGATTATAAGACTAAACTATTATTTTTCTATCTTGTTCCCAAGTTACATAGCCATTTGGTTGAGACATCTTCACCAATGATTACATAAAACTATTTTTTTTGTACTCAGATTGCTGCATTTGGGCAACAGGAAGTAACAAGAACGGCAGAACCTGTTCTTTCTGGTGTGTAATATCCTAATATTGTACATCGTTTCTTAATTTGGAATGTTCTTTCATGAACTAGAGCCTTCGTACAAGGGTTCTTCTTGCAAGGTAGGCGTTTATTCTGACTGCTCGGTATGTTGCACAGCAATGAGTGAAAACATTTATATCCTTGATGGGGAAGTTTGTGCCAGCAGGTTTGTTCTTTCACATAATTTATTTTCCTAGTTATGGTATTTAAAATTTATTTTGGAGATCGTTATTGAAAAATGGTTTCTCTAAGTGCTTTGTAAAAACAATATTGGGTTTAAATTTATAAGTCTATAATTTTGGTTCTTGTATGTTTCAATCTTATCATTTAAAGTAATCTATGCAACGTAGTTCGTTCAGATCCATTTCAATCCAATCATTTTTTTGTGATCTTTTATGCAGTAAAGTCAGAACGGTAAATGAGCTCCTGAAGGCTATCCATTTTTCTGCTTCCTTGGAGGCTATTTTCCTTGGTGCAAAGGCTGGGATCCATCCATGGATTCTGTATGACATAATTTCTAATGCTGCTGGAAGCTCATGGTGATGGCCCTGACCTGCTGCCAAATTACTTTTGGTAACACGAGTATTATCTTTTTAGATTACCATGTTTACCTTTCCAATTAAATGGGAAGTATCTTAAGATTATACGGTACCACAGGGACATGACATACTCTTCATCCACAAGATTTTTCTTGCATATTTTATAATTTTCTTGGCACTTCGTTTTTACGCGGATAAGAGTTAGGAGATATTTTTTATTCTTCCGAGAAGGAAGATGGATTATTACACTTTGGACTCATCTGATAACTTAAGGCAGATTTCTTTTGTTGAGTTTCGTATTATGTCTTAAAATGTGGGATATCGTTCAAACGAAATGATTTGCAGAAATATATAGTAGATATTTGAGTTAGAATTTCATTCCTCGTATGCCTGAAAACAAAATCGACATATTCAGATTATTTTAAAGTTGTATTCTCATTAGAGATATAACATAGTGTTTATTATGCTGTGGGTCAATTCGTCCATTCACATACTTTTTGATTATTTAGTGGATGTCTGATTTTAATTTTTAACATTTTCCTTTTTTTCATGAGGGGTCTGTACGGTCAGATTCCAGAAGCTCTAAAATCTGTTATTTCTGAAATAATATTTAAGCAGTTTGATTAGCTTCAACCATCCCAAATCTTTAAGCTCATTTTGTTGTTGAGGGACCATTATGAATGTGAACATACAATGGGAGCAGATGGGTTTTTTTTTCTGATGATTCTGAGTTTGAGTCCTCTAGTCCTTAATAATGTGACCAGTTTCTGGTCAACATTAAACTACATGATCCCATACAGGGCCAGATCAAGCCAATGACGACAAGAGTTGATGGGCAAAGAGCAGCTGTTCTAGGAACCATTCCCTTAGTGTTTCATTTGTTGTGTTTTTGTCAGTTTGTGGATAAAGGGACTGCCTTCTAGAATTTGTTGACAACATGAGGATACTTTTCTTTGGTTCTTCTTGGGTCTCTGTGATGATGACTTCCCTTGACTAGTGATAGCTGTGCTCAAAATTTTACATGGTGTGACTAGAAGATTTATTGTGTTTCTTGGTTTTGTCTTCTACTGTCTCTGAGAACTGAACGAATTTGTGCAGGATATTTGTAGATATTATTCCAAAAATGTTGAAGGGTGACAGTTCCTTACAGCTTTCTTTGAATAGTTTACTAGAAAGTGTGGTAAGTTTGAATTTACATTGTATTTCACTTTCTGTGGCCTAGTTTACCTTAGAAGCTACATGTGTGACCGTGCAAATAAATATCTCATACACTCATGATTGTCAAATCTTTTGTCAGCTGCCAATCTCTTTGTCTCATCTTTCAGTCTTCTGCATTTTTTTTTTTTGGTGGAAGTGTTCAGCATCAACATAAATGAAATGTCTTGTGCTTTCGAATTAATTTCACCTGTTGCCTTTAAATATGGTTATCCTGTGTTATCATCGTTCAAGGTGTTCTTTGCACCGAAACGTAAAATGCCTCTGTTCTTTGCACCTGTGAGGCATTAGATGAGCCATTTTGCCCTACCATCAGATTTAGAGCGAGTTCTTTTTGTTCCAGAATCAATTTACAATATATTCGTATAATATTTGTAAAAACTAATATTTGGAATTATTCCAATTGAATTCTCATTTATCTAACTATGGCCGAGAAAGCACTCTGAAGTACATCTTTATACAAGGGCACAATAAGGATGAAGGCACATGCCCATTCTATACTGTTCAATGAGATGACCACTTGCCTGTCCATCAAGTTATCATGCAGACATTAGATCCGACACCATCTCCCGAAGATGATTGGAGGATCTATTGAATTCCCATGATGATAAAGAGAGTTGATTTTACACATTTAGAAAAGTTGTCATATTTGGAAAAATTTACGTAGATTATCTTTTATCTATTTATTCAATGCAATGGGCAAAGGAAAGAGACTATACCACAGAAAAAATTCACCGTTTAAAAAAAAAGTGGCTAGAATTGCCTGGTCTAGACTTGCCATCCAAATACCTGATTAGAACCGCGGAATGCCTGTCCATCAAGTTTCCATGCATGGTCACTGGCCAGCATGCACATTTGACTGCATCACACTTTTTGCTTAGTCCATAGTTTCTTCTTCTTCCCAGACTAGACACTCTAATTACCCTAGTCGTTTAACTCTTTATCACGTCATGAAACTTCAATGATGTCTTTATACCATTGCCACACCATGGGGTCTTAGATATTTTTTAATTTTCTGATATGCCTGGTTTTCTCTTGGTTTAATGCTCTTCGAAGCTCACATGAAAATCTGTCATAAATGTCTTGACTTTTCTTCTCAATTTTATTCCACTGTTTATCTTTTACTTAAATCAGGGGGCAGTGCGAGCTATTGCCAAGGAGCTAACGTTTCCTCTACCAATTTTTTCCACTGTTTATCTTTTACTTAAATCAGGGGGCAGTGAGAGCTATTGCCAAGGAGCTAACGTTTCCTCTACCTCTTCTAGCTATATCTCACCAGCAATTAATACGTGGTACTTGTTTGAATAATTATTGATTTCATCATGTTATATTTCATCTATTATTCATTGCCTTGGTGGACATTTTGATCCATCACTGATTAGTTTTTTTCGCAGGTAAATTGAGAGATCCTGCTTCTGCCGCACTTGTTGAGGTCTGCTCCTTGCAAGGCTTGCCCAGTCAAATCGTTGCATTTTTATTAAATTTTAGAGCGCGCGACCCAAACCGATTAGTTCATTTTCTTATGTTCATTGGTTCATTCTGCCTACAGGTCTGGGAAAATTATTTTGGAGTCAGTATTAGAGATGCAGCTGATAAGGAGTTATACAGTCCCAGCCATCTAGCTGAAAAATTTGCAGCTGCATCAACGACTGTGGGGAGAATTGGTTTCATTGGCCTTGGGGCAATGGGTTTTGGAATGGCAACTCATTTACTAAAATCAAACTTTTCTGTGATTGGTTATGATGTATTATTCTTTTCTTATCTCGTTGTACCTTATTATTTGATGAGTTGATTCATTTTTTCTAGTCTGACTGGGAGTAGACAATCTTATTCAGTTTCAGTCATTGCATCATTTCCATCGCTGAATAAGTTTACAGTTATCCACATATTATCAATGCATTTGACCTTACTTCCTTATGGAGCATATTGTGCGTTTTTGTTAGTGCACTATCTTTCTTCACCGCGAACACTGGACTGCCTCAAGGAGGCAAAAACTAAATTATCTCAATCTGTACACACAGAAAACCGTCCTTGGAAAAGAAATGAAATTGTAACTAAAGATTAGCAAGCTTTGCCAAGTAGACTGATTCTTGTCTAAAGCGGCCAGCTTGGATCACGATTGAGGAACCTTAATGTAGTTCAAATTGGGGAAATTTGGTTCCCCTTGAATGTCAAGAAAAAGGTAAAACGTAAAGATTGAGGTGAGAAATCAGATTTCTCGGATAGGATTCCACTTGAAATGGTCTTCTCCTAGATATCCAAGTCTGATTTGCACACAGCCAATTTGACATCTAATCATGTATTGAAGACCTTGAGATTATCACCATTTGTTCATACCCTAGTCTCTTGTTTTTCTGGTTCAAGTCCTTATAGTCTCGGAATCCTTAACCCTCAAATGGTATCATATTGAAAACATTCTATTCTTTGGGTCATTAAGCTACTCATCTGGTATTTTTTCCTCAAATATTTTAGTAGACAACGTAAAGTGTCTTAGGCTAGTCACTAATCTTTAGTGCAAGAATAGAATGTAAGGGGGAACAAAAACTGTGCACGCCACAATGGAACACATGAATTTTAATAGTGATTCGATCAATCCCAAAACCTACTCTTCCACCTATTCCCTTTTCAGTATTTTATAATAAGTTTCTATCAACCCTATTATATATTGGCTTTCTTAAGATATTAATCAGACCTTTAAACAATGTTAACTTTCTTAGGATACCAATCACTTCGTCACGATTTCCAAGCTACAAAAAAATAATGAGCCCAAATAAAATACTCAAAAAGCCTATTAAATATGAGGGAAGCATTTCTGAAGTGATGGGAGATGCAACTCGATCATTTGAACTTAGTTCACTTTATTGGTTTGAACACGAGCAACAATAGGGATTTAAACTTTTGATTTGTAGGAGTTTTGTAAGACTTCCTTTCATGTCCTTTAATAGTCTCCAATCGCTAACTAGATGTTGTCAAGATTTCCTCTACAAATGGTCAGGTTTTATAAACATTTTTACTTGCTATTTTCAGCAATATTGTTTCTGCGGAACCACGTGTTGGCACTTTTGAGTTTTTGTGTCGGCACACGTCCAAGAGTGGACGACCAGACGCTCACTTTTACTTCAAGATTGGACACGAGATATGATTAAAATTTCTACACACAAAGCCACTTCTTTTTTGCATAGATTGCTCTATAACCTTAAGGGATCAATTTATCTTACTGACTTCATTTTTTATCATTTTTTTCTTGAAAACCTTCATTTCATTATTTAAACTCATGCAAAATATTTACAATAATTGATATAAAAATAGAAACTTGGTAAACATCAAAATCAACTTATTGTGTTCAACACAACCCATCATCGAAAAAAGTTATTATTATGCTTCTCGTTCACGCTCACAAGGTTATGGTCTTCAGTGCATTAGTACATTGATGCTTCTTTTCTAACAATTTTCTGAGTTTCACGAGAAAGTTGAATCCTATGTGCTTTCTGAGAAATTTTCCATCTTATGTAAATCATATATTATGTCATTTATCTATGTATGAAGTGTTTTAAGTTAGAATCTTAGGGTATCTTAATATCAATAATATTGATGTGAAAAAGCTGGTTTCAAATATTAATTTAATTAGTTATGAATTCTTTTATTTCTAGCATAATGACAATCTAAGTTTGGGATAGAAACCCTAATGGATGTAGGAAAGCTCTCAGAGCGAACAACACTATGAAAGAGAAGATTGAGCGAGAACGATGTTTTATCTTGAAACAAGCAGATCCTCTGAATATCGTTACAAAATGACCTAGATATCCTGAAATAAGGCCAGTCATCAAGGGAAACAGTATCAAAAAGACGTTAGAGATTATTTTCGGACTATTATAGTTTTTTTAACGGCTATAATCACCTGTCTTACACTCTTTTTCCTCTTGTGCTTAGACTTATCTCGTTATTTAGAAATTAGGCCAAAACAGTCATCTGCATCATCTCCTTTCATTATATGTTTATTTGACAAATTATAGTTCTTTTTTTGCTCATTTCATGCAGGTGTATGAGCCATCGTTAACTAGATTTGCAGATGTTGGTGGTTTAATTGGACATTCACCTGCGGAAGTATCTAGAGGTAATTTTCGATGTGTGCTTTTTGTCAGCTTAAAGTCACATGCAGACTGAAATTTTGGATCATTCATGAAGACTCTACAAGATTATACTTTTCTACTCATAGTCTAATAATGTAATACATGATATAACCTTAACCCCTGTGCTGCATTATATTCATATAACAACTCTTATTGGACCTAGTGTGCCATAATATATAATTGTTGTGTACCAGATGTGGATGTGCTGATAATCATGGTTGCAAATGACATTCAAGCAGAAAGCATTCTGTTCGGTGATGGTGGATCTGTGTCAGGTATTCGTAATGAATGTACTGCCGATGTTATAACGATTGTGTAGTGCGTCTTAATCATGATGTTTTTGCAGCCCTTCCTGTTGGGTCATCCATTATTCTTTCATCTACTGTCTCTCCTGGCTATGTGACTCAGCTGGAGCAACGCCTAAAAAGTAAATTCTTTCTCCTTCTTATTGTAAATTGGCAATGCCCTTTATTTCATTGCCTGGTAAGAATATTCTTAGATATTGATCGGCTGAGATATTGGGTCACCTTTTCTTTTCTTCTTTGAGAAAGTAGGGGCTCTTTATTTTTCTCATTGAAGTTAGTTATTGGTAGATGTCATTTGTGAAGAAAAGAAGTCAATTCTAGAATGTTACATTATTCTCTATCCCTGTGAGGCTCGCAAGTGTGTTTAGAGTACGCAGGCTTCCAAGCAAACAGGCCAACCAATGAGGAATCTAGCCAACATCCGCTTGTGGTTGTACCTTTTGTCTATGGTGCATATGACAGGGCCTAAAAGAATATGTATGCGTTTGAGATGCTGTGTTTGAAAATTTGTACACTGGATATGGCTAGTTCAGATTCGCAATTAAATCTATCAACCTCGTTCACTCAATGACAATTGATTGATTTGGAGGGCTGAATTATTTTACTATATGGGACAGTGAATCAGGTTTGGTACGATATCATAAACTATAAGTCCATCCGCTTTCATAAAACGCTACCAATGACAGAAATGGAATGTTAATCTCTTTGTTGATTCCATTTACTTGTTACCATATGATACTTTCCTCCATCAAATTTTATTTATCTGCTGTTGACTGTTTCCTAGATTATAACAGAGTAGTTTTATCACAGACGAGCACAAAAACTTGAAGTTGGTGGATGCGCCTGTTTCTGGTGGTGTCAAAAGAGCCGCGGATGGAACACTTACAGTATGATTGTCATTTTCTCGAGAACTAATTGTTGAAATGGTTTTTGGTGGATGTTGACTGCATATACATTAATTTATCGAATTTTATGAGATCAAACTTTTTTCCACCCTAGATAATGGCATCCGCTACTGATGAAGCTCTTGAGCATTCAAGTTCCGTCCTTTCAGGTAGAATTAATTCCATGCAAGTTCAGTCCTTTCATGCAATCATAGTTCTTTGCTTGTTGAAGAATTAATTCTCTAGTTGTCTAGAAATTAATGGCTCTTGGTTTTTTCTTTAAAAACAATTCCAGCATTAAGTGAGAAGCTCTATGTTATAAGAGGTGGATGTGGAGCTGCAAGGTAATGGAACAGACACAGCCCTCCTTTACTTTTCCTGTAAATGAGATACTTTAAAATCTAGATGTACTTGTTTGAAACTCACGTGAACATTACGTTTCACGGTTTCTTTGAAATATATTCTTTAAATTTCATTATTGAGAGAAGATGTCTGAGGAGCTTACATTCCTTTTCTGATGGCCAGTTCTGTAAAAATGGTCAACCAATTGCTAGCTGGAGTTCATATAGCAGCAGCAGCTGAGGCAATGGCATTTGGGGCTAGATTGGAACTTGGTACAAGAATGTTGTTTGACATAATCACGAAAAGTCAAGGAAACTCATGGTATTCATGAAATTTCAATTTTTCAACTTCGACATTAGAATTCAATTAACATTTGGTCCTCACTTACTATGCACAGACATCATGTCACAAATCAAAACTGCTCTGTGTAATTTATCAATCTATGATTAAGAAAGGTTGCTGCTAATTTAATGATTGAGATTTTTTATGATCCACCTCAGGATGTTTGGAAATCGTGTGCCACACATGCTGGACAATGATTACACGCCATATTCAGCTGTTGATATCTTTGTGAAGGATCTTGTACGGATTTATGTCAAATTTCTTCTTTCAATTTTTTTACCTCGATTGTGTGCCTGCCATTTTCTACTCATGCGTGAATTTTGTTCAGGGAATTGTTAACAATGAAGGATCAGTCCTTAGCTTACCCCTCAACCTTTCTGCTGTTGCTCACCAGCAGTTTCTAGCAGGTCCTCTACAATTGGGGTTTTAGATGATAGTTTTTTTACCTTAGTCTTCTTTCAATGGCTTGGATCTTTCTCACATATACATGTCAACAAAAATTCATGTTCGTGGGTCCTGCAGCATCTAAACTAATGTACCTATAATATACCTTTCATAGATATATATTAACTTTGCAATACTATATTGTGTATCTCCTCTACATCTTTCCTTATTCGTGTTCTAACAGCATGTTAGCAGTTGTCTACCAATCCGTATCATTATATTGATGTTTAAACCGTCATCTAATGGGGCAATGTTTTGATTCATTAGGTTCTGCTTCTGGATGGGGCCGACTTGATGATGCTGCTGTTGTCAAGGTATTCGATTTTTTATGCAGAGTTCCTTTCATTACGATGAACAGCCTTGAGAAATAATTAAAATGCCAAAATGGAGACAAAAACAACGGAAGTTGTATTCGGATCAAGTGCCCGGATTTGCTAGGCTCAGTCTCAGGGAGAGCTGGATTCAGGTTAAAAAGGCTCTAATTATTACTCCTATTAAGTATTTATCTGTAAGCATTTGCTAAAAAAGACTGAATTTAACAAAAAATTATGGACGATTTTTACATGTGGTAAATAGATCGCAAGACAGACTCCCAATTACAGTTGTCGAGGATTCCTGGTAATATATCGAAGAAAATTTGTCTCTAACTTGCCCAGTGACCTTAATGACACCTCTTGTACGTTTGAACGATTTTCTGCTTCAGAGAACTAATGGGTATCTGAGTCAACAATAGATTGTACGACCCTAACCTAGTTTATATGTATAGGTCAACATTAGATTATACTACCCTGGGCTGCTTCATTTGTATTACCGATCTACTTCTCCACTTTTTGTTTATTGTGGGTACAGTGGATGATGTCTATTTATTGGTAGCGTCTAGGCAAAACTCTATTCTTGAGTAATACATTACATTTGTGCGCTAGTTGATTTTATGAATAATCAATGTGTTATGCTAGTCTGGTGGTACATTTTATCTTTATTCGTCTTTTATTCCTCAAGAAAAGACAGTTATTTACCCTTTTAACTGGATGAGTTATAATCGCTACTTCGTTGGTTTCAGAGTTGAGACCACTTGCTATTTTCTCGTTGTGTTGACAGGTTTATGAGAAACTAACGGGAGTTACTGTTGAAGGAAAACACGCCATTCTTAAGAAAGAAAAGGTCCTTAATTCTCTACCACCTGAGTGGCCAGAGGATCCTATTGTTGAGATTAAAAAACTGGAAGGTCACAACACTTCTAAAGTTTTAGTTGTCTTGGATGACGACCCTACTGGAACACAAACAGTTCATGACATCGAAGTCCTGACAGAATGGTAAACCTCGATCACTTTGAATTTCTTTGTTGTTATTAACAACATTATCTATAAACATCATCTTCTATGGATAATTTAGGTATGTTATTCCTAAGTGGTGCTCTTTTATTTCTATGCAGTTTCTTTACTTGTATCACGATATCAGTTATAGAATTATCTGAGATCTTAAGCTAAAAGATGCACATTGAAAACTGTTGGTCATCATAACTTGGTTTTAACTATATTTCTTACATTTTCAATTCAGGAGCGTCGATTCTCTTGTTCAGCAGTTTTTGAAGAGACCTAGTTGTTTTTTCATTTTAACCAATTCCCGATCACTAAGCTCAGAGAAGGTAAATAATCCATGAGTCACTGGTTATGGTGATCCGACTTGATACCAGTGACGCTTAAATCCTTTTGTCTGTGAAATGTATTTGTATGAATATAGCTGGACATTATTGCATCGGTAACTCTATTGTTTTGGTTTAAATTGACAGGCTTACGGATTAACTGAAGAAATCTGTAGAAACATAGATACTGCGGCTAAATCAGTTGGAGACGTTGATTTTTCTGTGGTTTTGAGAGGTGATTCAACACTCCGTGGTCACTTCCCACAGGCAAGTTTCTTGCTTTTCCTGTAATCCATCCTATCAATTGATATTTTTTAATAATATACATTATCGTGTTTCTCTTAAAGTTATCAAAGTATTTAAGGATAGCTGACTACAGGAACCAGATGCAGCTGTTTCCGTACTAGGGGAGATGGATGCCTGGATTATATGCCCTTTCTTTCTTCAAGGAGGTCGATATACTATTAATAATATTCACTACGTTGCAGATTCCGACAGGTGTATTTCTCACTCAGATGCGTGAGAAATTAGTATCATTGTATATTCAATACACTGACTTTTTAATGTGGCTCTCTTTTTTGTCAATAGTCTTGTCCCTGCTGGTGATACCGAGTTCTCTAAAGATGCTGCGTTTGGCTACAAAGCTTCTAACCTCTGTGAAGTATGATCATTTTACATTGGATGTCATGAAGGAAAACATTATTAGCATTATAACTCGATTAATGAGAATTTATGTGTTTTTTTGTGATACGGATCACTAGTGGGTTGAAGAGAAAACTAGAGGACAGATTTCAGCCAGTAGTGTCGCATCCATCTCTATTCAGCTTTTGAGAAAGGGAGGACCATCTGCTGTATGTGAGCATCTTTGTAGTCTCCCAAAGGTGAACAGAAACTGTTGCTACCTTCTCGGGCTTTACTTTGGCAACTCTTTGTTAATGCACCTGTATGCGGTGGTTTAAATTCAGTAAGATGATTCTGGCTTAACATTTCGTTTGATAGTCTATTCATATTTCTTTCTTTCTGCCTTCTTGTCCTTGGGAAACTAGTATTAGTTGGTAATAATTTTTACTTCACCCAGAAAAAAACCAGTGCTGGACAAGATACTGTAACTCTTGACTAGGAAGATCCTAACATCCTAGTTTTACCACAATAGTCAACTTGGTTAAGATTGTCTTAAATTGTAGCATGGTAGTCCTCAATTTGGTGTGCTGGAGATCCCGCAACACATTTGGCGAGGAAGAAAAACCTTTATTGAACAAAAAAAAAGAATCTGTTTTACAAGACGGATGGGGTCCAGTATTTATACCAGACCCTTGAGAGTACATAATTATAAGTATTTAGGGCATATCTGCCAATATGAAAGTGCATGGTTAGTTATAAAATCCTCATGGCAACATTCCCCCTCAATTTGGTGAATGAATATGATTCATTCCTAGCTTGTGAAGAATTTCTTGTAGCTATGTGCCTGAAACACCTTTGGTGAGCATATCTGCTAACTGATCTTTAGTTGAAATATATGGTATACAAATCAACATTGTCTCAAGTTTTTCTTTAATAAAATGCCGATCAATCTCCGCATGTTTGGTACGATCATGATGTATTAGATTATGTACCGTGTTGATTGCTGACTTATTATCACAGTAAATCTTCATAGAATCCGATAAAGGAATATGCGATTCATTGAGTAATTTTTCATTCAGAGAAGTTCACAAACCCCTTGGGCAAGTGATCTGAGTTTTGCCTCAAAACTTGAATGGGCTACCACGGTCTGTTTTTTACTTCTCCAAGTAACCAGATTCCCACCAATAAATGTGAGATTACCAGTGGTTAATTTCTGGTCAATTATTGACCCTGCATAATCAGCATCTGTAAACATTTTGACATTTACTTTCCCACTGTGTTTGAAGAGTATTCCTTTGCTGAGTGTGCCCTTTAAGTAATATAACACTCTATATGCTGCATATAAATGAATCTCTTGTGGCTGATGCATGAATTGACTCAAGATACTCACCGCGTATGAGATATCTGGTCGAGTATGCATGAGGTAGTGTAAACAGCCAATAAGCCATAGGTACATCTCACAATCAACCTGGACTGCACCCTCCACCAAACAATTGGTGTAGTAGCTGGTCTACTGCAGACTTTCCTGTTTCGGCCAACAGATCTGTTATGTATTTTTTTTTAGAGATCAAAATTCATGAACTAGAGTGAGACACTTCGATACCTAAAAAGTATCTTAGGCATCCCAATGTCTTGACATCAAATGCTGAAGCCAAATTATAACTTAAGTTCTGTGCCCCTACATCATTATTCCCTATGATGATGATTCATCAACATAGACCAAAAGCACGGTTACTCCCCCTGAAGGAGAGTGTTTAAAGAACAGTGTATGATCAGCATTACTTTAGGAGTATTACAATGTCTTCATAGTGGCTATAAACCGTCCAAACCAGGCACGTGGGGACTGTTTTAGTCCATAGAGAGAATTCTTTAGCTTGCAAACAATGTTGGGAGAGACATTAAACTCATAGTATGGTGGTAGTATTCTATTAACCTCTTCCATAAGATCACCATGCAAAAATGCATTTTTTACATCATACTGTTAGATATCCCAACTGAAAATCGCAGCTAGAGATAATAAGAATCGGACAGTATTCATTTTTGCCACCGAGGAAAAATTCTCTTGGTAATCAATTCTGTAGACTTATGTGTAGCCTTTGGCCACTAATGTGGCTTTATACCGCTCAATTGAACCATCAGTATTGTACTTCACGATATACATCCACTTGAAACCCATTATTTTCTTATTTAGTGGTAATGCTACCAAATCCTATGTCTCATTTTTCTAAAGAGCCCTCATTTCATCATCCATGCTTGCTTCCACTTCAAGTTAGACAGAGTTTCAGAGATATTCTTAGGAACAGTAGAGGAATCTAAGGAAGCTAGGAATGACCTATAAGGAGGTGACAACCAATGGTAGGATAAGAAATTGGCTGCTGGATAAAGGGGGTTTTAGTACATTGTCTAATAGGTTTCTGCAGGGCAATTGGAAGTGAGTCACATTGTAGGTTTGGTTGATCATCTTGTGACGAAGAAGGAGATATTTGGATATTTTCTAAGGCCTCATTCGAATCATGGGCAGGTTGAGAATCATGAATGACACCTTTTCTAGAATATACCATGCCAAACCTCAAATATTCAGGAAGCAGATCTGTTGTGGAATGGGATATTTCAGGGGCTGAAATAGGAATATAGAGCTGGAAAGGACTCATGGATAATGGTATTTTCTATAGGCAATGTATGTTGTTCATTTGATGACGACTGATTGAAATAAGGTACTGTTTCATGAAATGTTGCATCCATAGAAGTAAAAAATTTCTTAGTTGGAGGGTGGTAACACATAACTTTTTTGATTAACAGCATAATCAAGAAAGATACATTTCAGTGATCTTGGTGCAAGTTTTCTTTTATTCTGTTTATTATTATGAGCAAAAGAAATACATCCAAATGTTCTTGGTTTAATTTTAGTGTTAATTTGGTGGTGTGAGAAAAAATTGGCTAGGGAATCAGGACTGCAGAAGTCTAAGATTCTAGAAGGCATACGGTTGATGAGGTATTGAATGGTAAACAAGAATCTGTTTTACAAGACAGACGGGGTCCAGTATTTATACCAGACCCTTGAGAGTTCATGATTACAAGTATTCAGGGTATATCAGCCGATATGAAAGTACAGGGTTTACTTATAAAATCCTCATGACGACATAAACAATTTTGCATCATCTCATGTCACAAAGTGCGAATTTTGAAGTTTGCAACAAAATAGATTATATATTCATCCGTCTTAATGTCATAATGTGTTATGTTATTTTATTTTAGTACGTATCAGTAACGCATGCCGAGATCACTCTGATACAGTTAGATCGTAACACATTCGACAGTGGCTATTGAATATCTTGTGAATGTCATGAATAAAAACTTGGAAGATTCTCTGATCAAATAACAGTCCTTGTCATGGACCAGAATAATACTGCAGACGGCAGCTCTCATAAAAACGTGAATTTCTTTCTTTTTTTTCTAAATCTTGAAGAATTATTTTTTTGAACCAGGGAAAACATTCAGGATCAGTGTTTTTCTTTCATTTAGTTGCTGTAGAAAGTCGGGTTTGACAGTGAGAATTGAAATTTCAACAACATGCTCTATGAATTTTTATTATAATTTCTGACTGTTGCATCGTGTAATTGTTGGAACAAATACATTACTCAAATCCTTACATTTTACGTTTCATGCGCCATGAATGTTGCCAGGGATCAGTTTGCATAGTAAATGCAGCTAGTGACAGAGATGTAGCTGTATTTGCCGCAGGAATGATCCAGGCAAGTCAGATTGCTACCCTCTTACTTTTCTCTGGTATCGTTACTTTACTAGTTTTTTTTTCTTTGATTTTTTTATTAATCAAACGATTATTCAACAGGCTGAAATGAAAGGAAAATGTTTCTTATGTCGAACCGCTGCAAGTTTTGTATCTGCTCGGATTGGTATAAAACCAAAGCCTCCCATCTCCCCAGATAATTTATCTGGAAAGCTTCTTAAAACTGGGGGTCTCATAGTTGTGGGTTCTTATGTCCCAAAGACCACAAAGCAGGTCTATTTTTTCACTTTCATCCTATGTTTTTGTTTACATGTAATACATTGAATTTGAAATTAATTACTTGGTACTAAATTCTGCAGATTTTGGGTCTGAAATCAAAACTTGGGCATGTTATTAAATGCATAGAGGTGACTTTTTCATCCCCAGGTCCCTAATGACATTTTTCGATTTTTATTTATGATATGATTCGGATTACAAATTTAAATTATAATATGGGCGGAATAATATATCATGGCTATAACATCTTTATTTTCGCCTGATTGATATCCTTCTCTGAAGCAGGTCTCTGTTGATAAACTTTCTATGAGTTCATCTGAAGTGAGGGAGGAGGAAATTAGGCATGCAGCTGAAAGTGCAAGTTCCTATCTTAGACTTGGGAAAGATACACTTCTGATGACTAGTAGGGAGCTTATTAAGGGGAAAAGTAAGTCGTTACCCTTTTTTTTCGTCGTATATCCAGTTGCATTATGTTTATATTATCATCTTCTCTTCGATAAATAAGTGGTGCTTTGAATGGTTAAAAATAGGGAGAGGCATTCCATTAATGTGGACAAAAATTCAGTTTTTGGGTTTGATATGTGCGAGGTTTTCGATATAAACGAATCGATATTAAAAGATACTAACGCGGACAGTTTCTGTCAACCATGTCATACATGTTTGATCATACGTCCAGTTGGCATGACAAAACATGGAAAAGTCCTGTCATAAGATTTGCTAAAGCAGCAACAGTCTGCTCAGTTGAGGGAAAGTGATTGGAATAAGGCAGGAAACAGGGATGGGTCTATCGCAGTTATGAAGAACGAAAAAATATCAATCATAGTATGTTTTTTGTCTAATCTGTGGAAATTATATCTTCTGTTACATTAGATTCACGCCAGCGGAACTAGATCCAAAACCCAGTAATCTCATATTTTTCGTTCCATTGCATTGCGCCGTCTGCTTCTCGTGAATGAAGCGTTTTCTTCATTCTGATGTCAGTCAACACTGGTTTGTCTCAAGGTAATAGTCCTCACGTCCTAAGTTGCAAAGATCATTCTTCTCTCCATCAATTTCTCACAACTCGATCTGAAGTTTCAAACTTGAATTGACCCATTCTGGGGCCATTTTTTTTGTACACGTAGAATTCCTATCTTGTAGGGCCTAAAAAAAAACTTATTAATGTCTCCCAGTACAAAATGTTGATATGTATAACAAATTCCCTGATGTCTAGCACGATCAATGTTACTTACTGATGATGCAAAATTATTTTCTCGAATATTTATCTTATTTTTGGAGGTGCAATATTATTCATGTAAAACGTTATTGTGCAGCTCCTTCTGAGAGTTTAGAGATTAACTTCAAAGTGAGCTCTGCATTGGTGGAGATCGTTAGGAGAATAAATGTACGACCACGTTATATAATTGCAAAGGTACTTAAACATCATTCTTGAGGGTACATCATCATTCAGCGGTTTATGAATATTTATGTATATTCTCTTGATATTAAGGCTCTAGAAGAAAAAAAAAACACTTCTCTCATTATTATTGTGCTTGAATTTCTTTTTTCTCCCTCTGTTTATTCTTTTATATCCTATGTTTCATGTCATCTGATTAAGCTATGACTATGATTTCCAGGGAGGAATCACTTCATCAGACCTTGCTACTAAAGCTTTAGAAGCTCATCGGGCACAGGTTGTTGGCCAAGCTTTGCCTGGTGTTCCCTTTTGGGAGCTAGGACCAGAAAGTAGATATCCAGGGATTCCATATATTGTTTTTCCAGGTAAAAGCTTATCTTATATATGTTTGTATGGACGAAGGTAGAGGATGTTCTCACAATTTAATGAATTTCTCTACCTACATGCCTAACCCCCGCGTCGTACAGGTAATGTTGGTGACGATAATTCTCTGGCAGAAGTTGTGCAGAAGTGGTCTCATCCACCATTGAAGTCTTCGACAAAAGAGCTACTTGTTGTAAGTGTCTTATTTGGAAACATGTGTTTATGGATTTTTACAATAATACATTTCTTCTTCCTGAAGAATGCGGAAAAGAGTGGGTATGCTGTTGGTGCATTCAATGTATACAATCTTGAAGGGGTAGAAGCAGTTATTGCCGCTGCAGAAGCTGAAAAAAGTCCTGCCATCTTGCAGGTAGGGATGAGTTATTCAAATGTCTTTAGAACAACTGTTTTTAGAAGCGTCATAACGTCCATGGACGTGACGCCTCAAGTTATATTTATTGATTGAAATATAAATTATGTGAAAAACCTTTTCTGAATTTTGGTCAAAGTTGCCTGCTGGCAAACTTTTTCTAGTTCACAAAAGCTATTGTTAGTTAGTTGAAAAAATTTAAGTTTGCTACATTATCCTGTTACAGTCTCCTTTGTTTCTTCATTGTATCTTTTCCAAATGTATTCACAGAAGCAAATTGAAAAGATGTTCTGAAACAGTCTGGTCATCATGTCCATTATTCTCCTCAAGTCAGCACTACATCTATCATCTCTAGTTTCTTTGGAACCTTTTTCCACTCTAGGATACTATCTGATTAACAGAGAAACAAAGACCTTTATAACGATATTTATGTCCCTCTCTTTCTAAAGTTGTGCGTGTTAGTATGAAATTGTCTTTGCGCCTCAAAAACTAATGCGTCAGTCTGCCCAAGACCCACTCAACTGAGCTTGTTGAGTCATGCACGTACCCCTAAACAATGCAGAAATAAATATGGATTACATTTATAATGTGCATGGATATGTCTACATTAATAGAAACTAATACTTAATATACCTCTTTTATTGCCCAATCCCTATCCCGCATACTAATGAACATTCGCTCTGGAAGTAAAAGGAGAATAAGTAGGAAATGCTGTAATGAGCTTTGCAAGCACAGGAAACAATGAACCAATGAGATGAATTTCTCCTAGTCCATTTATATCACGTCCAAGCAATATGGGATTAACTTTTCATGGTTTATCAACCCTTGGTCTTTATCACAAAAATATCATAAATACGGTGCCAGCCGTACAAGAGAAAATATCAGCTCTAGTATCACAATGCTGCAACAGACCGTCTTTCAAGAAAGCTGAAGGAGAAAGCCACAATGGATTAAATAAGGCTGTCGTATTTTAAGCACCAGGGAACAGGATTTAAAGCCCGGTGTGAATCGTGCATAGAAGTTTTCTTCTTCTGTATGATGATTAGGTTGGAATTTTTCTTCTCGTAGGATACTCCTAGAATAGTGCATTGCTTTGCTCAAATTCTATGTAAAATCTACGAAACAATTAATGATGTCTTGTTCGATTTTACCAAATAATAAATTCCGTAGTGTCATTATCCTTTTTTTTCCGAAATAGCGAAGATTAGTTCAAATCCGCATATTTTATCTTTCAGGTGCATCCTGGCGCTCTAAAGCTTGGAGGACACCCTCTAGTTGCTTGTTGCATCTATGCTGCTGAACGAGCCAGTGTAAGTAGAATTCAAATGAAGACTAGTATGAATAAAAACTGCTCTTCGGAAGGCTAACGTTACCAGATTGAAAGCATCATCGTGCTAGTATTTGGCATCATGGGTATGCTATATATAGGACATGCATTGAAAGGTGCTTGGGGGCCGATATGCTTACTGAGGAGTTTCACAAAATCCAACTTCATATTTATAAAAAAAAAAAAAAAAAAAATTGTCTGCACTTACCTCAGTATTCTGATACAGATCGTGTCCTTTTGTCACTTGTCCTTTTCTTTTGCCATCTCTTTTAGCTCCTAGAAGAATCCAGTACACGCACTGGAAAAGTTTCGTTCTTTATAGTGCCATACATGAAGAAGGTTAATAGAATTCATATAAAGAAGAAGCATCTAGTTTTGGTTTAGCAAAAATAGTTTAACGTACTATCCCAATCATCAACTTTCTGTTTTTATCAATTTTAGAGTGTTAACATAAGATAGGGAAAAAAAAAACGACTCACTCTATGTGCTTTTATAATGAATATGCTCCAGTAAAAGTACATGTTACTCGTTATTAAAGGTAGATAGGTGAGAAATACGTCTTTTCATGCCTTTAAGTGTTGCTCCAGGAGTTACCATACTCTATACGTTCACTTGTCACATCTCAACTAAGATCAGTCTCTTTTTAGGATGAACCTCTTCCACGTTGTACACATGTGTACCATGTTTGTCACTGTTTTTCAACTGCGTATGGACTTGTGAAACTTGCCAGATCTCGACTCCTTTCAACTTAATTCATTCCAAGTTGAAATGTCATAGAATGTCTAAACAAAAGCTAGAGCCTCCCTTAACAAATCATCTATGGATGTCTGGTTCCGTTCAGTGAGATCCTTGGACTTGCCCTATGTTTTTCATGGCAGGTGCCTATTGCTGTTCAGTTTGATCACGGGAGCTCTCAGCAGGAGCTGTTGGAAGCCCTTGAATTGGTATATTTTGCTAACTGTATCACTCTTGTTGTAGTTCAATAACTACTTTATTGTCTATTATATCCACATTAGAACCTATTTAAATAGCATCTTCATCTTCCACCATTGACTATGCTGTGTCTTTTGGACGAGCACAAGGAGATGCTGCTAAGTCTCTACTCACTGCAGGGTTTCAATTCAATCATGGTTGATGGTTCACATCTTCCTTTTGAGGAGAACATCTCCTTTACAAAGCACATATCGTCCTTGGCACATGCAAGTAATATAATGGTGGAAGCTGAACTTGGACGACTGTCAGGCACGGAAGATGACTTGACTGTTGAGGATTATGAAGCGAGATTAACTGATATGACTCAAGTAAATATAACCATAGAATATATTTTTCTTTTGTTAAAGATCAGTGAAGATTGGTAACTTGGCTCCACGTGTTTCAGGCTGAAAAATTCATTGATGAGACGGGAATTGATGCTTTGGCCGTGTGTATCGGAAATGTCCACGGAAAATATCCAGCTTCTGGCCCAAATCTGAGACTTGACTTGCTGAAGGTTTACTACTATCTTCCAATGCACAACTGGGATATATTTATATTTCAATAGATAAGCAAGAATAACTTCCACGCGTCTCAGCTCACACTCTCTAAAGCTTTTTGGATGTTTGGCTGACAGTAGATGTTACTTGAGCTTCACAAACCTACGGTTCACACCCACCACCCTTAGCTTCTAGGTGTATTTAATCCAGGACAATCCGTTGACTAGATGATGAACTTTTTTTAAGAGATATTTCTTTCACATTCAGCCACCTTAATTTTTTTCAGTTAGATCAGCAGTCAGTTTCACTTTCACCCAGGAAAATAATATATATATACATATTCATATTCACCATAGATGTGATGATCACATGCTCCAACAGGTGGACATCTAGTTCAAAGCCATGGACACTCAGGTTGTCCATCATTCATATACCTGCAGCTTCTATTATAAAACTGACTGATGGATCATGGAACTGCACCAGACACAGAAGTTCACCGAATTTATTCTTGAAAGCTTTAATTTTCCCCATGTAGAAAGAAGTGATTGCCTCTCTAATTTAGTCATCCTCTTGTTAGATCATCATGTTCACACTACTCATGTAGACCCAATTCTTTTCCTTAATATCTAGTATTATTTTCAGTATCTCAATAAGCTTTGTGCACTAAGATAGTTCGCTAAAAGTTCACTCTTTGCAACTCTTGATTTTTTTTTTCTTTTCTTTTTTTTTTTCAATCTATGAACCCCGACCACTGTAGCATGTCAAACAGGCTTGTAGACTTGCCACACTTCTGCCCTCTAGTGGTTCAATCTGTCCTAAAATTTTATGATTCAGTTAACAGATGATCGTCTTTACCTTTTAGAGCCATCGTTGACTTTCAGTTCATGTATGTTCTGATTTTGAGAATTTTTTTACCAAAAATCGCTCAGAGAATCGGTGCGTTCTTGTTGACAGGATCTGCATGAACTAGCTTCAAAGAAAGGGATCGCTCTTGTTCTCCATGGAGCATCCGGATTGCCAGAGGAACTTATAAAGGTCAGACCGCCCCTTCATCCCTCCCATGTATCGGTAGAGACTCGTACAGTGATGGGAATCGGATTCCTGCTTTTTCCGCCAAAATCATAGCCAGTGCTTGCATATTCTGGGTATAAAAAAAATGTTCTGATGAGATTCCGGTCACCATTTGAAGAAATAAAGCCGCGTTCTGGAGATCAGGGAAAGGTCAAACACTGATAGCTGGAATCGATTCCCTGTTCGAGAGCATCTACAAGGGTAAATCATGTCGCAGTGATTCGTTAGGTTCACAGGTCCTGGGTTGTATATATTAGGCAAGAACATTTGTAGGCTCTAACCCACTCCCATTCATACATAGCCCATCAAATCGGATCTGATCTTCAATCTAACAAGAGTTAGCCCTCACCCCAGTCTGACACAGAATCCTTCCGATTCCCATCGCCTTGCCCTAGATTTTATTCCATAAAAAGCTTCATTTTTTATGTGCATATATATATATATATATATATATATATATATAGAGAGAGAGAGAGAGAGAGAGAGAGAGAGAGAGAGAGAGCCCGCTTCTGAGTGGGATATGAGGAGGGGGGGCGACCAAAGCTAACGAGGGTCTGTGATGTACAGGAATGCGCAGGAGCTGGCGTCCGGAAGTTCAATGTGAACACGGAGGTCAGAAACGCCTACTTGGAGTCTCTGAGGAAGCCCAGCAAAGATCTGGTCCACGTTATGTCCTCGGCAAAGGATGCCATGAAAGCCGTCGTCGTGGAGAAGATGCGCCTCTTCGGCTCCTCCGGTAGGGCTTGATTATTTGCCCCAACTGGTAACTTTTTTATTCCCTTCTACCGCCTGCATTGCTATTTATTCATCGGCCGAAAACAAGAAACCATGAATCCTCCCTAACAATAAATAAATAAATAAATATTTCTTTATATTAAAAATAGAAATACCATGATCCGAACATTATATTTCTTGAATAGCCCTTGTATAAAAGTGTTGTTAAATCAGAGACGAAACCATGAATCTCCCTCTCCTCGACGGGCAAGTGATGGCCTGTGCTTCGTTCAGTGATTACATGACCCACGACGATGACCACACACTGGAAGTCGGAAAAGAAGGCCAAAACTTTTCAAAACTGATATCTATTGATGTCCGACAATTCACGCATTTTACCAAGTTCTTGATGCCAAAGAAAGAAAAGAACCGCGATCCAAACATTTTACTCATTCCATCTTCAATCGACCAGAGACGAAGATAAGAGGATCGTATCATACACCAACGTGCATATAATTCAAGAACATGAAGCAACCTCTGTTTTCTAGAACTAGAAAATAATAGTGCGCGATTCCGACAGCATGGTCATCAATGATCGTATCCTTATCTGCCCTGATGATTTGAGCTTATAGCATCATATGTGTGCATACATACAATTAGTGTCAGTAATTCAAGTACGCGAAGCTATTTATGTTTCCAGAATTAGAAAATAATCAGTGGGTGATTCCAACATCAACTGAAGGTCGATTGCATTGTGGTGATACAGAGCACTGAGTGTCAGAATAAAGTAGGAACCGGAAACATGAATGAGATAGCCAGACGAGGAGGAAGAACATATTTATCCCAAAAGTCCTCAACAAAACAACAAGATCTACAAGAAGCATCTTCAAACCTCTCTCACCCTCTCAGCTCCGCCGCAAAATCCCTCAACTCTACTTCTTTCCCTTCTTCCCAGCCCTGCTTACCAGAAAAAGTATTAACCCAGATTCAGTCATACCTAAAAAAGGAAAGGAATCGAGCCCAGCTAGCTTACCCGGCAGTCTGAGGAGGCGCGGCTGATTCCGGCGCAGACGCAGGAGCCGATGGCTTCTCCCCGGGGCCCTGTTGAGCTCATCCCCGGTAAGTCGTAGAACAACAACACAGAGCAGCACTGGGGTGGTAGATGGGGGAGGGGAGGAGAGAGACGTACCTGGGCCAGACGCTCTTCCCTTCGAGCGATCTTCCTCTCCCTGCTAGCCTTGCTCTTCGCCCTCTTTGCCTCGAACTGATCAGACAGGGTCTTCTCCCTGGCCTTCTCCGCCTTGGACTTGTGAATGCTCTCCATCAGCACCCGCTTATTCTTGAAGACGTTACCCTTCACCTTCATGTACATGTCGTGGTACATGTGCTTGTCGATCTTCTTCGACTCCCGGTACTTGCGAAGCAGCCGTCGCAGGACCCTCATCCTTCTCATCCAAAGGATCTTCGTGGGGAGCCTCGCCTCCCTGGTACCCTTCCTCTTACCGTACCCGGAGTGCCTCCCCTTCCTCTTCGCCTCCATGGCTCGCCGGGCCCGAGAACGGGAGTGGATCTTCGTCGGCTTCCTGATGACAAACCCATCCTTCACGAGCTTCCTTATGTTCTGCCCTGTTCGTCGGACGAGAGCAAAGGGAATGAATAATCATGCACATGTTTCCAGATCATCCGTGCAAACAAATACGATTAAAACAGACAATGAGAAATTAGGGTTCGTCTTCTTGATTAGATCCATATATGCCCAGCATGATAAGAAGAAAAGTTTGAAAAGCAATGCTTTTTTATTAAAAAACACACACATGAAAAAAAACAGATCGATTTTGAAAATATGATTTTTTTAGTTTTTAAAAAAAAAGGAAAAGTCTTACTTGAATTGGCCATGGAAATTTCATTGGTCTCATTTGGGTCTAGCCAAACCTTGCCCTTCCCACATTTGAGGACACTGGCAGCCAAACGCTTTTGCAACTTCAACGACACCATTGTCGCAGACTTAAAAGAAGAATACTACTGCAAACACAAGTAAAAAAATCAACATGATGGTCGCAATTTTTGAATTTCATGCGATTAAATAGAAGAGAAATAGCAGGAAATTGTCAACATAATTGAAACTAAAAGTTAACATAATAAATTACCCACCAAGCAGGTAAATAAATTAATTTCGTAACACAGTTACCAACACTTTATTCTTAAAAATGGCAAATACGACGTAAATATTTTCAATAGCTACACAACATATGGGTAAAATGACACGGATAATTTCCATCAGAGGAAAGGTGTCCCTTACTAGAGGTTTAAAAAAAATAATAAGAATATTATAACCATGCACTATGTTTCTGAATCTCCATCTAGGAGAGAACAAATCATATCATGAACTGGTAATCAAAAAGGTAGAACGACTCGAAGCTGGAAAAATGAATGTTCTCCAGTCATTCTAAGCCATATGTACAACAGAAAAGGAGCTATCCTCTAAAGAGGGAAGAAACTAAATCAATTACTTGGATACCTCTCGCACGCCCTAGCAATACGGTAGACGACAGAAATATGCATTGAAATTAAAAGGGTTGACATTCTGGAGAATACACAATATGGTTAACCATGACGCATATACGTTGCTTCATCATTACCTGGCTTTAATTGATATTAAAAAAGACTAGCACAAAAAATAGGCAAAAGTTCCCACGCGATGATTTATTGATTGATTTAAATTTGGAATCTTATTAGCTGGGCATCAGAAAAGAGAGAAACAAAAAAATTGCTTCTTAAAATCGTCAGGCACAAAAAACAGGATCACAGAGATAGAGAGAGAGGACAGACTCCACCAGAATAACAACAAAAATTAGAAAATCATAAAAAAGAAAATAGCGGTGATTCGAAACATAACCTAGTGGAGAAATTCTAAACACACTGCAAAGTTAATATTCTTCTCGATCTACGTTTCAGGGAACGAAGGCAACAACAGACGGATGAAGTCACTCAAGAACAGACCAAAGCAGCGGGGATGGAAAAGACGGAAAATCTGGGGAGGACGAAGCGCCTCACTTCTGGCCATCACGAGAGCAACCAACGAGCTTTGAATAATCATGAAACATCCACAAGAGGAAACCTCATTTCACAAAACCAGCACACAGAAGCGGGATGTACAGACACACGGTAGGAGGAAGAACAAGGCGAGACGAAGACTGACGGAAGACGTACCAGGGAGCCACAGGGGAGGTGTTCCCGCTGGACTGGAGGCGGCAGCAGCAGGAGCCTTAGAGCTAGGGTTTCAATATATATGGCCCCCCCCACCTCAGCGAGCCAGAGAAACTGTGACCGTCGGATATCGGATCTGCATCTCGTTTTCGGATAGACCTCCAAATGGGGCTCTTCCCCAAAGCCCAAAAAATGATGGGCCCACAGTGATTAGACCATCCACAAACAACACCATCGATCTTATTTTAAATTATATTAATACCTCACGTCGGGCCCAATATTGTTAAGGCCCAAAATATAGGTGGGCCGATACAGGCCTACGTGGGCCCAACCCAGTCCAGCAGTGGCCCTACGCGGCCACTTGCTTGAGACCCCCCACATCCCCAGGCTGTAACTGGGCCTTGTATAAGAAACAATGGGCCTCCAGTTTAGCATAGCCTAGCCCATTTAACATCCCGAGTGAAAATAAATATCAAAATTATTATCGAAACTAAATTATGACGTCATCATAGAGAGAGAGAGAGAGAAAGAAGGAAACTTTGAAAGCCTCTCTCAGCACATCACATACCCAGACGGCAGCCCCCCAGATACCATTGAATAGTCCATCCACTTCGAACCCACCCAGTCAACGACTGGAGTGGATGGAGGGACAAGAAGTCAACGCCACCAACCAGAGGAACCCCAGAAAGCTGTTCGACCCGCATTTAAAACCGAGGGGCGGTGCAGCGCCACAGGGTGGGGAAGGGGCGGAGAATCAGAAGCCTCTCCACTGTTACTCCGGAGCCGAGAACAGGCAAGGAAGACAGCGATGCAGTGATCCGATCACATTGGAATCAGGAAAAGAGGAGCAGCTTGCTTGCATAATGTACATGCAATTACAGCACAATAATCAAACACAGAGGGGGTTGGGGGATCCATCCATCCATCCATCCATATCAGCTACACTAATCCTCGAGCTAGAACGACGGGAAGAGAGGAGAGAGGCTCAAGAGGCCGACCAAGCTCGCCGTGTTCAAGCTCCGACAGCAGCCACCGCGGGTTTCACCTTGGGCGGCCGGCCGCGGCCGCGCTTTGCACCGGCGGGCGGCGGAGCAGCAGCGCGGGCGGCCTTCTTCGGCGGACGACCCCGCCGCTTGGGCAGCCCCTCCGCCGCCTTCGCGGCGGCGACGGCGAGAGGGTCCTTGGGCTTGGGAGGGCGGCCGCGAGGCCTCGGCGGCGGAGGAACGTAGCCGGCGGGGAGGGGCTCCTTGGGCTTGGGAGGGCGGCCGCGGCCGCGCTTCGGAGGGGAGTTGGGATCGGGGCGCATGTAGTTGTTCTTTGAGAAGACGAGCTCGCCGGCGTCCTTCATCTTGTTCAGGTGGTGGGAGAGCAGCATGGAGTGGCCGGTGGGGAGGTCGCCGTGTTTTGATTCGATGAACTTGGAGATCTTCGCCTTGCTCGATCCGTTCTTGTCGTTCAGCGTGTCGATCGCCGTGAATATCATCTGCTCGAACATCAAATTCATCAAATAATATAAATAGGGACATACTCGTGTAATCGTCCTTCTATGGATATCATCATGCAACAATACTGTGAGAAGCGGACTTCTCGCTTATTTCTAAGAGAATAAATTAATCTTCTACAGCGGGTGTTATCCAAAATGCCCGACGACTATCTTCGAATTAATTATTCTAGATGAGATCTTAACCGCGGCAAGCTCAGCTATTTGGAATTTCAGCTTCCTCCAGATGATGGGATAATTAATCACCGCGCAAATGCATCCTTGTTTCATCGAGTAAAGAAAAACATAGAGTAGAAAACACGCGATTCCTCGATAAGAATAACACCAAAGGAAAGCGACAATCCAAAAAAGAAAAAATCAAACAGTTTCTTCCACATCAAATCCGAACAACCCGATCGGATGCGAGGACGAATGATGCAGAAACCTCCACATCCACTTCCCCCTCTACCGCGAAAAATCCGAACACCGAGTGGAACCGGCACGAAATTGAGATGGAAGACCTTGCTCCCGAGAATCCAGCCCTGAGAGCTTACCTCGGGATACGGTGGAAGCGCCGGTTTCCCGTCATCAGCCATCACCGCTGACAGAGACGCCGCCCTGAACTCCGCGGCGGCGTGGAGATGCCTCTCAGGTCCCCTGCTCGTATGCCACCACCAGTTACCCCACAGCAGGAGAGAGAGAGAGAGAGAGAGAGAGAGAGAGAGAGAGAGAGAGAGAGAAGAGAGAGAAAGTGGGGTTTTTGCTAAGACGTGGGTGGGTTCGGGGATTTAAAAAGGCGGGATATCGACGGCCGGAGGGCGAGAGGAAGTATCATATATGATTTCATATTTAAAATAGAAGGCGAAAGAGGAAAAGAGGAGATAAATGAGGTAATAAAATAATGCAAACGAAGCAGGAGAAAAAAAGGATCCTTGATCCGACGTCCACAAAGAGGGGAGATGAGAAGCATCCGACGGTGTTTAATGCCTGTGGAGCTTCACCTGGATCGATGACGTGGCCCATTAGACTTGACTTGCGCCCCCCTTTACTTGCCCCACTCCGAGATGTGGTCACCGGCCTACGTCGGGGCCGCCCGAAGGTGACCGTAAACTGCGTACGGCAAGTGGCATCATATTCCCTTCTCCGAGAACCAACAAGGTCCGTGTCGCTTTGTACTGAATAATCCGCGTGACTGTCGGGGAATGGTAGTTGATACGAACATGACCAGCATGCTGTATCTGATCAGCGCAGCATTTGATCCGCAGCGATGCGTACCTTATCTCAACTTACATGGGGACCGATGAGCTGGGACCATAGGGCCACTCTGGATATTTCCTTTTGTCACGTGGATTTCAAATTTCAAATCAGCCCCTGCTGCCGACGGAGATTCGAAAGCAATCTCTCTCTTTCTCTCTCTCGCAACCCTTTTGGGATACACAGCGAACCCTGTTGGTGTTTCAGTACAGAACTGACGGCCTTGAGACGGGAAAGAAATCAACGGCCTTCATGTGATCTGGCATGAAAGATTCGCAGAACTGAAGTGATATACGCCGTTGATTTGTTTAGACAATTATCCTTCTTAATTAATTTCCCGTGAAACCAACGGCCGTGATGGGATCGGAAAACGGCCCACGTCTACCGAACCTAAACGTTGACTGGAGGTGTTCTATTGGGCCGGCTCAAATTCAAATATCACAAGAGGCAAACTGGGCCACTTGTTCGAGAACCTTGAGCCTGGGTTTCGGTTCTGTCGGAAGTTCAATAATTTAAAATGATTTTATATTCAATGACGGGACAAAAAGGAAATAAATTGACTTTGATAAAATATGAAAATAATTGAATAATATATTTTATTCATAAATTTTCATAACATAAAATTTTCTTAATTGATGATGACGACAAGTTGGTACATATGGTAGTGGGAGACAGTCAGTAGTCAAGTAATGGCTTTGTTCTCCATAAATCTATTGTCCCTTCTTATTCTTCTAAATCCCATCTGCATCCTCCTCCAATAACCATGTTCATAGGAGGAACATGAAAGAAATAAACATGTTATGGAAAGAAATAGAAGGAAAATTAAATGAGTATAAATAATGGTAGATATGACATAAACAATACAAGGAGTCAAAAGAAAAATTAATGACTAAAACATACATTCTCACATTAACATATCATACTTCATGAGTGAGATTGTTGAGGAAAGAGATCACCACTACACCCCACCCACATGGAAAGAGATCTAAGAGGAATAGTCTAAATAATTTCTTAGGAACTAATAAGTTGTCAACTTGCAATGATTTAGAAGTGAGAAATGAGAAAATCGACCCATTATTATTGAAACATAGTGGAATGGCACCTGTGTGATCGAGTTGTTAAGGCTCAAAACTAACAACTAAATTAGAGATGGTTAGAATTGATAACATTAAAAAAATAATCAATGGCCAATGCAACCACTTTAATTTGAAAAAAAATATAAGGAAGTTTGTATAATCTCTATCAAAGTCCTAAAGATTGGTCATCTTGAAATGACTACTCCACTTATCTATCTCTAGAAGAGTCTTAGTCAAATCTTTCATGATGACCAATGTATGTCATAGTACTCTCTCCCTCTCCACTTGGTTTCTCGATCTTATATTTTTGAAGTCTGAGTCTTTGAGTTTATACTAAATGATTGTCAATAATCTCTCTTCTTATTATCCTTTCTCACATGTCTTTTTGGTATTATAGCAAATGATTATTGATGACGTCCAAACATAGCATTAAAGGTGTTGAATGGGTCACTAGGGAGTCCAATTAGATATGAATTAAATAAGTCCAAGGTGATAAACAGGATCGTGATGACCCTCTTAGCCCATATCATAAAATCTATTAAAGGTGGATATTCTCGAATCAACTAGTATAGATAGACTTTGAAATAGTGACAAAGCTGAAGACTCAAACTACTCATATTCACAAGATTAGATGTAGAGAGTTAATCATTTTGAAACTAGGAGGATATGAGAGGCTCCTAAAATAATAGAGCTTTAAGTTGATGAACACTATTTTTCAATAATTCTTAGAGCTCAAAGAACATGAATAAGTCACTAAATACTGAGAGGAGTTCAAGTGATATTAATGTCTACTTATAAATATTCTCTAATAGATCTTGAAAAGCACATTCTTAAAACACTTTACAAAAGAACACTTTAAAACTCTGATGATCTATGAAGATTTCTTAGTCTTGTCATTAATTATGATAAATATCATTTTCAAAGTCCAATAGACAAAGTCAAAGAAAAAAGATTGAATAAGATTTTGGATAATGAAATATATTGTAAAATTTTTTAAAAAATTCAATAACTATTTATGTAAAATTATCAAAGATGCAGCCTATCTTAGCCCTATAAACTTTATCTACCAACATCATAAAATTTTAATTTATTCTTTGAATTATATCAATTAATAGAGTCAACAACCCACATAGATTCATCTTTCTTCAAATAAGAAGTTTTTATTTCTAAATTCATTTGCTTACATCTAAGAACTATTGACGCAATGACACGTGGATCACTAGAAGAAAGATAATGCCCAACTTGTCAATATCAAGCCTTTCTACTACCTACATTTTAGAAAAAAAAGATAAGAAAATTGACTAGAGAAATATTCATTGCATGCATAATGCAAAAAGATATGAGTCATATGATAATGCTAAATTTTGTGTACTTAGTAATGTTAAATATTTACAATTTTTAGATTATTAAGATCTCATTGTATATTTTTCAATACTATACAAAATATAATATGGTTGAATATTTAAATATCTATTAATTCTTATATTTAAGAGAAATAAAATAAATCTTGTATATATGGATTTTGATATTGTTATAAACTCTAACATGTTTCCAAAGTCAAAAGCTTTGAGAAAAACATATTGAATTAGGATATTATGTAACTACACATTAGGAGTAAAGATAATTTTTTGTGAATGTTTATACAATTTTTAGAAACTAACCAAAGGTCTAAATAAGGGTGCAACAAAGTACATCAAGAAATGGGCCACAATTTCATCCTAAAGAAACTCATAATTCAAGACCACAAGTAGATTATGATACTCCCAAACCTCATAAATAACTTGAGGCTGAAAGGCCATGTGAGACACGTTAAGGTAGACATGCAACTTGCATATGCACTGAGTGTGTGGGCCTCACATGAATGTATAGTCAAATGAGAAAAACTCAAACAAAGTGAGTTTTCCAAACTTATAATTTCTCCTTCGGATTTGAAAGAGATCTAAAATAGATGAAGGAAGTCATTTATATGAGGAAAGAGGTGAAATGAGGCAAGTTAAAACATATAAGGTTCTCTATACCTCTCCTTCCATAAAATGGGGAGAAAACTCTACCCTTTGGAGGACATAATAGAAGGAGAGAAAGAAAGGGTTCATGAGAGAGACCTATACAGAGAGAGAGTGTGGGGATCATCTATAGGAGTGGGGAAGCTCTAGAGTGAGTGTGGGAAGTCCTTGGAGGGAGTTGAGGTGGTTACAATGTGCCGACAATTGGTAAAGAGTTGGCTAAGAGCGAAGTTAGAGTTGGAAGCCAAGAAGGGAGAAGAGTTGTTGTGTTGGGTTCTCCTCCTCTTATGTATGATAATAAGAGCACCTTAGTGTTCTATTATCATAGAAGGGTCTTAGATATTTATGCAGATGATATGAAGGTTACTCATTGTTGATTGTGTAATGATCAAAGTTAATTTCATGTAGGAAAAATGAGAATCTAGATTATCCACCTTGTGACACAAGCTTAAAGGAGTGGTAGAGAAAGAAGAAGAGGAGACTCACTTTTCCAACTAATGAGAGGGTACCCACTTTCTTTCCTCTCTAGAACTATCCACAAAATTTTCCTTCCCTTTTAAGAGGTGCCTATCTAGAACCATTCATGACCTCTCTACTTCTATATTCTTTTTAAAACCCTCTCACAACCTCTCCATCCTCCCTAAAATATCTCACAACTCATTCACCCCCTCTAAAGCTTTCCACCACTTTTTAAGAGATATATTTTTCAAAAGTTGTAATAACTCTAACTTCACACTTCTCCAAAGTGAATTTTTCAGCATGTGTGACAATTCTAACATTTTACTCCTCAAAGAGCGATTATGTAAAATATGTGACGATTATAACATCCCACTCTTCAAAGAAATATTATCCAAAATAAGTGACAGTTCTAACCTTTCACTCTTCAAGAGAAGATCATCTAGAAGGTGCAATAGTTCTAACCTCCTTAAAAGTGCCAACAAGTGCTTATAAAAGAGATATATTAAGGATCTAAAGAAGAACATTAGAGGCTAGAGCTGGATTATGAACCATAAAATCATTCTTCATTTTAAGTAGATATGTAAATTTCATTTTGACATGAAAAAAATTATTTTTGTAAGTCTTTTCATTTTTAATTAATTCAAGAACAATTTATTTATTTTAGTTCTTTTTGCGTTCTCAATTAAGTCTATTGTAGTTCTTTACATTTGAATTTGAATCTCCATCAATCTTCACTATATTCTATTGTTTTGTAAATCATTTTTTCATTCTAAATACATAGCTGAATTAAGAATGTGAATCTTT